TTCCAAATCCTTAGAGAAGCCAAGGAAGGAGAAAAACTGGTAGAAAAGCAGAACTTGGAGCAATTTTAACTCAGTACTTTGACATCCTCCAACCTGGAAAACAGTAGTGGAAGCTATGCAATCTTGTTCTGGATTCCTTGATATTATGGAGAATGTTACTGAGATACAGTATAGTACTGTAAGTCACTTTTATTGTGTCAACATTTTATTACTATCATTCAAGTCAAGTGTAGTTTATAAAAATGTTAACTACATTCCAGGAACTTTCTGCTATTATCTTTTGAAAATAAGTATTGCTGCGTGTGCTAATTTTACTCTCTGAATAAGGGTTAGGAGAATTAGCTATTTGACTTGAGTGTTTCCAAGAAGAGTTCTCAACGGATGATAAAAAGCTTCTAGATTCCTTCTAAATTTTATTAAATGAAACAATTCTGGAAAAGTTAATTAATTATTCTGATTTAAACCTTTCAGACTGGGGTTTCAAGATGACTTCTAAATTAATGAGTCATAATCAAGGCACTGTGCTCCCTGGGTTTTTTTTTTTTTTACCTTTCTTTTTCTTTTTCTATGGTATATGGAGAACCAAAGGGATGACTGTGGAAAACTACTCCTATAGCCTCTATCAATAAAGTATAGTTCAAGTTAAACAGACAGAATTACAGGACTTGCTTCCATTAGAAGAACAGTATGTAATGTTTAGATTGCAGTAAAGGTGTTTTATAATTCCAACTGGATCAATTCTAAATAACAAACTCATACACATCCATTTACCTAAACAAATGTGCACGCACTATTAAATCTTAAATTACATATACATCCCTAATGCTGTAGCAAATTTACCTTAGGGCCTTGTCTTCCTGGATATCCTGGCAAACCGGGAACACCAAGTTTACCCTATAATTAAAAAAAAAAACATTAATTTTTCATTTACTTTTTCCAAATATCTCCATATTGTAACTAGCATTTATATGTAATCATCATATTTATTGATTTTTAGCTATTTGGATCTGTCTGTCTATCCATAGATTGATCTATTTGTCTGTCTGTCTGTCCATCTATCCTATCGGTACTAAATTTATGAAGATCAGAAAAGACATTTATGAAAGATGGAATACATGAGACCTGCTCAGAGTAAGCCGTGGAAGAAGAAAGGGTGGTTTTGGAGTATTTCAACATAAACAGCATGCAGGAAAACACCAGAATAAAGTTCTTTAAGAAGATTTATTAATAAATATTCCTCTAAATAAGCAAAGTTTACTATGCAAATTAGATAAGCTGATAGTACCCAAGAGAAAACCAACAGTTAACTGGGACTGACCAAACTTTATCAAAAGTCATAGAACTGGATGAAAATTATAAGATTTGGAGACATCATACAAAATGAGACATTGTACTACATGGACTTCTCCTTTGATTCTTCTGGGGTTCAAACCAAGCATAATCAGATAGATTTCAAGCTGGTTGTGTGTTGTGTGAATGTGTGTGTGATGTTTTGGGGCCCTTCTCATCTTCTACTAACCCCAGAAGGATGGAATTAAGTACTGCTGAGGTTTTTAAGCATGCCTCTGCTCTACAAAGCACTTGGTCTTCTCTGAACAAACAAAATATCTGGCAGCACTATATTTTCTCCAAATGCTACCTGTTTCTGAATTGATTATGTTGTCTGAATTGATTATGTTGTCGCTCATGGAACCAAATGCGAACAATCAATGCAAAAGTAGTGCAAACCCTCTTGGGCTAGGGTCATGTTGGTTGTATTGTTACACTGCTCTTGTTCTCATAAAACACTTAACTAAGCCAGTCACTAACAAATCAAATCTCCTTATCAATGATTCTAGCAATACATAATGAGAATACAGCATCCCTAGCTTAATATCCATTAAATTGTTGTGCTGAGAAAATATTGGTAAAATTTCATTACTTTACTGACATCTTTAATACCAACTGTGCAAACAGGTGTTGTTTGGCCATTACTGCAAGCCAGAGTCCGGAAGATGTGCTGTGCGCTGCCAAGCCTTGGCAAGAATTTGATAATGGAGAAGTTTGCTTTTTCAGCTGCACTTTCTCTTCAGTACTTTTGGAGAATTCCAATGATATATCTAACTGGTTGGAGTTAGTTTAACTCTTTGCATGATGGAATATTAGTTTGAGCTAATTTAACTCCCCAGTGGCTGACAGGGAGCAACTGAAACCTTTTGTGTGTTCTCACAACATACTTCCCTAATCCAGTTAAATGTATTGAATGAATAGGATCATTGTGCCGAAAGGAAAATATACTAAAATATAGAACAGTAGAAGACACAAACGGCAATGAGAAACTAGTACAGAATCTGGAAGAATTTGAGGGCTTAGCTAAATATTTCAACTTCCTGAACCCCCTCCCTCCCTTTTTTAAAAAAAACCTTGAAATATTCACTTTTCAAACTTTCAGAGCAGCAATAGCTATGATGATAAAGAGGATGATGTTCCCGAGATCTTTAATATACACATTATTAATATATACAATAATCAGGGTCCTCAGCAATATACATAGTTATCATTCTTGAGATCTGATCAAGTAAGAAATTGTAAAAGCATTCCATTCAAGAGGAAAGGAAATTTGTGTCTTTAATAAATTTTATGCCTATGTAAACAATCTTAAATCTTAACTTAGTTTATGTTTGTTGCTTTTCTTAGCACATTTCAGAAGATCAGGAGCTGGAGCTAAGTGTTTAAATCTATATTTTATAATGTGTAGCATTAGATTTTGCGATTCATTAGACAATTATTTAAAAGGCCAAGATTTATTCTCTTATCAACCTGAAGTATGGGATGCAGAGTACAGATTCCAGATGAATGTTAAAAAGGAACCTTAACAATATTTTAACAGCAAAACCAACTACCAGCACTGGAGGGGGGGGGGGAGAACTGGGTGTATTGAAGGAGATACTTGACAGCCATCTATCTATCTCTTAGACAATCAGTATTATTGCACTGAGAAAGGGTTTGGCTTCAATGGGTTTTTTTTCTTCTCTAAGATTCTATGATCCATGCATAGGCTGTGGAGCAAGTAAAGACACAGATTGCTCTATAACCAACCTGTAACAACTTCACATAAAGATATACTCATGTTAACCTTTGCAAAATTGCACTAACTTCAATTTTTCTTCTGCCCACACTTCTTTCAATCAAATTCTATATCTATCATAATACTTCCATATCAAAATAGGAATTAATTTAGATTTTGGGAGAAAGTAAGTTTCATATATTCCTGTTTTTTATGGAATTGGAATTTAATGGAAACTTAGTGATAACTTTCCAATTATGCTGCCATTTATCCATAATTATAATAGTGGTGTTCTTTATTCATGACCTTTTTAACAGCTGGCAAGATGTCTTGAAACATTATAAGGATCATTAATTCTAAATAGCTCCCAACAGTTAAGTGAAGCTGAAAGGAATATTTTCTGGAATGAATGATCTGACTTTGAAAGTATTTTTTATGACAGCTTATAAAGCTTCTAGTATCAAATTATAACCTTCCTTTCTCTTTTTTATATGGAAAGGGGATCACCTGGGGAGAGTCATTCACAAGATCCTTATAAACAAACATGTCTTTGATCAGGCCACCGATGCAATCATGCAGAAATGTAGTTGAATGAAAGGCTATCTACACACCAAACAGAGAGAAAGGACACCTGGAAGTAATTTGGGGAAGGTGAAAGAATTTACCTAAATGTACAGACAGACACTAGGTACAGAAGCACTATTCAGGAATAGTTAATTCAGGGACTATTTCAGAAACTGAAACAAAATATTGAGGAGACCCTACAAACTAACCTTGGTCCACTGCTCTACCATTTGTAATAAATTGTGGCTCTTCTTTTTCCTTGATAAGAAACTCTGGTTTAAGTGGGAGATTTGGTTTTCCGGCTAACACCTCTCACTGGCATAACAGTAATCATGTAAAAACGTGAGTTGTTTTTTTCCACAGGAAAAAAATGGACATGTGAAATACATTCTCATTATTTCAAATGTCTTTGTTACAAATCTGAGGTCCCACCATCCTCTACATGTTTCAAACATAACATAAATGTTTCCATATGTCTTTTGTGCTTCAATTATTTTTGTCATATTCTTGCTACTATCGTGCTGGTCAATTCTGATAATAGAAATATCAAACCGTTACAAACCTTTTCTCCAGCTTGGCCAGGGCCACCTGAGTCTCCTGTAGGACCTGCACGGCCTTTAGGACCTTCAGGGCCATCTTCTCCTCGAGGACCAAGAGCACCAACTTCACCCTTAAAAATATTGTGTACATAAAACAATAAAAACTAACCACCTGTCTCCACAAAAGACCCAAAAGAAAAAAAAACACTAACTGAAGTCCAGCTACTGACTCTCTCAAATTAAGTTCTTCCTAAAGCTTTCTAAAGACAATAATTAAGGAGCCATTCCCAGAAAGCAAAAAGGTTGGTGTTCCTTTGCTTTTTTTCCTTTATAACTTGATTAATCAGCATCCTCATTAGTTGTTCTGGCTAGAATCAGAAAGGTTGACACTATTAATTGGAGCCAACTGTGATATAGGGAGAAATCCTCAGTTTTTTCTTCTGTAAAACTTTCTTGTTACAGGTCCCTCAAGATCTATCATCTTAATCTTGACAGTGGTTTCAAGTTATTTTGAATAAATTAACATTATTGAAACTCGATCCATCTTAAAAATTGCCTTGATGATCCATTTTATATAAAAAAAATCAATAAATACAGGTAACACAGAAAATGTTCTTGCTCAATAGTATCAAACTAAATGCAACTTTGGTAAAATGTCAGCTTCTGTACTATGTTGACAAGCAAGTTAACAATGCTGAATAAAAGAAAATCAATTGCTTTACTTCATTATAAGGGGTTTTGAGGTTTTGAAATTTTCATAAGACGACACTACTGTTGTAAGAAGCAACAAGTAATTTGAGACCTGTCACAAGAGTACCAAAGCTGACACATTCATACCAATAATGAGAATCATAAATCATAAATGTCTGGAGCATACTAAAAGCAATGCTACTGCAGGAGTAGCATAAAGGAATGTGTGTACAATGATTCCACTACTGTGTGTTGTTAATTTGTAATTTTAAATTACTTTAAGGTTACCTTCCAGCCAAGGTGAGACAATGGGGAACAATTAAATAGTAAATACCAGTATTAATTAAAAAAAATCAATGATTAATAAAGCATACATAAAGTCTTAATAAAAAGTTATCCCATCCTCAAGATTATAAAAATCAGAAGCCATGCAGCCCCATAAAATACACCTCTTAAAAAAAGGTGTCAAAAAGCAAGTGTATCTTTTGACATTTCTGAAAGTTCAGCAGTAGAGATTACTAAAAGCTCTCATCAATCTACTGGGCAGAGATGGTGGGGAGAGGAATGGAGGATAGAATAGTATTAGTACAAAGTACATAGTCTTGGTAACAAAGATCACATGCCTTCAATAGCAATAACCCTTAGATTTATATATCACTTCATAGTGCTTTACAGCCCTCACTAAGCAGTTTACAAAAAGTCAGCGTATTGCCCTCAATTGCCCTCATTTTACTGACCTCAGAAACATGGAAGCCTGAGGCGACCTTGAGCCAGTCAGAATCAAACTGTTGGCAGTTGACAGAATTAGCCTGAAATACTGCATTCTAACTACTGCACCACTTCAACTTCAGGTTCCTTCTCCTAAACACTGTCATCTACAAGTTCTTGATGGTGAAGGTCTTCTCTGGGCATTGAACTAGCCCAACAATTTAGGTAGTCCTCAACTTACAACTGTTTGTTTAACATCAGTTTGAAGTTATGATGGCTGTGGAACCACATGATTCATTAACAACCAGGTGATCTACTTAACATCAGCAGTAAAAATGGTCATAAAATCAGATCTGGTCACACAATGACTCGCTTAATAACTACATGGCTTAATGACCAAAATTCCTGTTCCAATCATGGTCATAAATTAAGGAACACCTGTACTGGGATTTATGAAAGTAATCAAAACCTGGTTATTTCATTAGGCCTTTGAGGAGAGGTGATTTTTTTTTTAAAATCCTCCTGTGTAGTATATGACTGAATAAATTTATATAGTTCTTTAGCATAGGAATATTTTGCTATATTGTGTTAAATTCATGGATATTAAAGTTTGTTAGTTGTCATGTTCCTTTATTCCTATTTACATATGTCAGGATAGTCAATTCCTTAGTCAGTTAATGACCAGAGCAACATAGAAACTAATTATTAAAACTCTTAATATATAGTCATCTTTCCTTTCCTTTGGGGGAACATAAAAGTCTTCAGAAGAATCAATCATATCCATTGCACAGTGGTTTTCATTAAATGAAGATCTCTGTGTGTTCAACTGAGACTAAAAAACCTGCTGAATGGATGGAGTGATAATGAAAGTTCCCTTTACCAATCTGAGAATTTAAGTACAATGCCTCAATAGATCTAAAGCGGTTTTAAAGTAATACTTACTCTATCGCCCTTAAGGCCCATATCACCTTTAAATCCAGGGAAGCCATCTTCACCCTATGTTTTTTGTAGTGAGAAAGGGAAACATAAAAGAGTTCCTTAAGAAATCAGAATGGAAGTTGTTCAAGAATTTGGATAAATTAATATAATGCATATGACAACCATAGCTATTTTCAAATCAAGTCTTTTTATAGTCGTAGACTGGCATAACATAGTTATTTTGCTGTAAGTCGCAATAATTTACATTACTAAAGCTAGATCATACACTAAATTACTGCAATATGGCAATTTCTGTATCTGGAAAAAAATGCCACAGCTGAGTTGAATTACTTTTCAGCTTTATAAAAAAGAAGAAAGAATAATGAGAAAGGTGCTTAAGGCAATAGGAGAATTCATTTCTTAATTTGTCAATGAGTTCTTCATTATAATATTACTTTTCCTTATTAAATTTCCTCCTTATATTTCCAGTTTTAAAAGTGTTGGGATTTTGTCCCATCAGATATTTCATGTTCAAAAGTCGATTGGAATATAACCCAAAGATACTACTACTGATTAAAGGCTAATTAGCATAGCCATATTTTACTTGTTGCAATGATGTAGTAACCACAGAAAATCTGCACCTGGAAAGGTCAAAACAGCTTTCCAAATTATCCAGCCAATGAAGTCCAGCATTTGATCGGATTCATAATGGGTTTGTTCTGTTGAGGGTCTTTGTTTCTCTTTTTTATGTTATCTTTCTGATGCTGATGGTGGATGAACCAGAAATCATTGGGACCAAACACTAGAATGCTTCTGTTATATATCAGTGGTATTATGAGCCTTGGCAAATAATTTCTAGGATTCCCTAATAGGCTGCTTTCTATGAGTTCATATTTGACTATTAACAGACATAATTAGTATCTCCCAAATTAGAACATGAATCTCTCTTTTTTCTTACTTCTCTGAATTTTGCCAAGCAGTTCTCAGATCAAACACACAGATTAAGTGGTAAATTTAAAGAAGTGGCAGGTTAAATTTTATGAATTTTCCTGAGTACAAAAAAATACAGGTCAAGTTTTGTAAAGTAAAAAACAACAGTACTCCAGATATATTTATTACACAGTTATTGCTCTCCAGCTGTGTAGACCAATTGATCTTTGAAAAAAAATGCAAATATTGTAGAATATGAAAAAATATGTCCATTCCTGTTTCTGACATTTTTGTAATGTTCATAAAGTCCCTGTAATCTTTAATGCAATTATAGATGCTATAATAATATCTCAAGAATCAGGAATCCTGGAAAATGTCATTCCCAGCAGCAAGATCCCAGATGCTACAATTATTGGCCATTAATTAAAGAAATGGAACTTTCCTTATGCATCACATCAAACTAGTCAGGAACTTAGCTTTGTCCCTACAAATTATCCCAATTATCCTAAAGAATAAAAAGACCATTGATCTACACACAAAAGCCTAAATTCATAATCGTGGAGATTGCTCTATTTACTATTATTTGATTTTTCTTAGCACATTTTCTGTGGGAGATGACCAGGCTGAGCCCAAGGGAGGAAATAAATGCACCATCAGTCTTGAGTCTTTTTGCACCCACAAGAGATCTAAGTCCAGCCCACCTTGAATTCCACTGACTCTTATCTACTGCCAATTTGCTTTGACTGTTAGTAGTTCAGATTCTTGTAGAGAGCTTAAGCTTACAATAAACAAGGAGTGTCAAACACGTCACGTGATGTGTCATGACATATCACAATTTTTTTCCCATTGCCGGAGCTGGGGTGAGCACAGTTTCGGCATGACGCATCTGGCCCACGGGCCGGCAGTTTGACACTGCAATAAACCTTTATATTAATTTGAACTGCCTGGATTTCCTGATTTCTTGCGCTTGATATTTCCTGTCCTATTTTGGAAGAAATACAAGAAAAATTCTGCTGAAATCATCGGGCCATCTGAAGACATTACAGGAGGATACTCTGCCACTATGGCCATTTCTTGGCCACCATATAATAATCTTGCACCTGTAATAGACATGATTTTCAAATTTCCCCATTTATTTGGGGTGCCTTTTGCAATAGAACGTAAACACAATTAACAGATTACCTTTTCACCTTTGCCACCTTTTAGACCTCGGATTCCATCAGCACCCTACAGGAAAGTACAAGTGACAATGGCCAAGGGACCAGGTTAGCAAAACTTAGTGCCAAGTTGATTGTTTATCAAACATAAACATCATGTTAGTCCTACCTTTACACCACGGGGACCAGGATAGCCAACTGGACCGTGAGGACCTGCAGGCCCCTAGAAGACATTGAATTTTAGTTAGATTACACTATGTGAAGTTTAAACAATATACATGTACTACTACAACATGATGCTACACATTTGCTTTTTCAAAAGTATCAGTAGTTGCTGTTTTGAACACGCTTTCTTAACATAATCTAAAAGGTTCAATAAGCAATGTCCAGAAATACGTTAATTTATGGCAATTGTGATCGATTTATGATCATTCATCTAATGACTGTTTGAAGTTACAACGGCACTGAAAAAAAATGGCATAACTTGTTCTCACACTTATGAGCACCGTGGCATCCCCATGGTGATGTGATCAAAATTCGGGTCCTTGACAACTGGCCTGTGTTTATGACAGCAGCACTGTCATGTGATCACCATTTGTAACTTTCATAGCCTTTTCCAACAAGCAAAGTTAATGAAGAAGCTAGATTCACTTATTGCAGTGATTTGCTTAACAATGGTGCCCCCGCCAAAAAAAATTGTAAATGGAGCTCAACTCCCTTAACAACTGTCTTGCTTAGCAACAGAAATTTTGGGGTTCTGTTGTGGTCATAAATTGAGAACTGCCTATATATTGCATCAGTCAAGAAGCCTAAATTGTCAATAAGTAAATAACAGCCGTCAACTGAGAAATTATTTAGTAAAACCTGTATTACGAAAGGCTTTTCCAGTGTATTGCGAAAGAACTATGGAATTTTAAACCAAGGCTACAGTGAACTGTGCCATGCAAATCCGTCTAAATTGAACGATAAATTATATAGCTATTCAGGACAATTTTGTACCTTAATATACCCAATTTTTAAAAATCACATCAAATAAATCTTTATTTATACTAATTTATGAGCATTAGGAAATACCATGATAGTATTAGGCATGCTATTCTTAGTTCCTATATTTCTTAACAGAAGGACACATATGGGCTGACTCTCCTTTTTTATTTATGCTAGGATATATTTCTGGATTAGGACTATCATTCACAGTGTTGGAAGCATTAATTCCTCAGGAGGAAAATTAAAAGTAACTCATTGGCTGCAAAGTTTTTCTTCTTTTAACTTACACAGGATTGGATGGAGGTCAGAAATGAAGTCAATGGAGGAAGAAATAATTATTCTATCACCCATACACAAATACTTAAATGTGGTAGTTCTAACTTGGACTGAGAATCCACATACTTTTTCTTATATACATAAGAGGGTCAATTGACCATTATATAAACAGCATATTACATGAGCAAAGAAACAAAAAAAAGATAAATGTAATTGCTTAATATTTTACTACATTACTCTAGCAGAGGTTGAAAACATTGATTTACTAAGAGTTTGTGTGTGTGTGTGTGTGTGTGTGTGTGTGTGTGTGTGTGTGTGTGTGTTACAAAAGAAAACTTAGAATTTTGGATGGTCAGTATTGGGTGGAAAAACAACACTGGATAAAATGGAAGAATTATGGAATTAAAGGAACTATCTGTATTCTGCTGAATCATTACAGTAATGATACTGTGCTGCATTATCTCTAATTAGATGATGAATATTCCTTGCCATGGTTTTAATGTACTAATGTGTAAAAACATTACCTTTCAAACCTGTTGATGCATGCTTTTGTGAATACAGTGGTACCTTGCTACTTATACTTAACTGCTTTGAAACTCATCGAATTTGATACTCTCAACATATTTTGATGCGAAAATTTTGTCCCGGTACTCATTGTCTGTTTGGTTCTCAATGCACAAGCTAGAACTTGTCAATGTCAGCCACCTTGTGACTCACTACATTATTCCTTATGGGAAAAATCTGTTTGATACTCAACGTTTTTGGCACCCATTGCACTTCTTGGAACCAATTAACGATGAAGACTGAGGTACCACTGTAGTTCAATACATGTTCAGGCTTCTATCTACCATATCCAACTCAGCTAGGAGTGTTAACTTATTTTAAAACCAATCTGTGAATGTGACGCGTACTTTGACAATACAGTATAACCTGGACAACATAAAGTTTCCGAGTAGTAATTTAAAGCTCATTTCATTTGAAGTAATGAAAGTTTATTTCATTTAAAGTAAATTTAAAATGGAAAAATAAGTAGGACACTTGGTGAGAACAGAATGAAAAATCATTCTGACTTTATTTATTTATTATTTAATTTATTTGCTGCCCATTTTGTATCAAAACGACTTTGGGCAGATCAAGAATTATAGAGTTATTGTCTTATTTATTGGCAAAAGCATTGGGAAAACTAGGTTATTCTAGAGAGCAGTATAAATAGTATGAAATTACCATCATCATCATATATGGGCAATAACTAAAACCCTACAGAAAATATTCTCTTTTCCCATCACTTTTATGCTGAATGTTCTCCTTTTATCCTTAAACAGAGACGATCCTGTTGATGAATTTATTTATCACTTTTGTTTTTTTGTTACTCACAGACAGTAAGACAGTACAGCTTTTTTGTACAGCTAAGACAGTACAAAAAGAATTGCATGGGAGAAATTAAAGAAAGAAATATTCTTCAGTAGAAGAAAAAGATTTTTGAAAAATTAGTGATGCTATTCTAATGGTCTAAGAGTTCAATCACAGTTTATTTATCATAATTTCATATCTGTCACTCTTTTTCTAATTACACACTCACTCATTTATACACACACACTTTTTACAGCAATAAATAAAGTATAAACATACCGTGTCACCTTTCTCTCCAGACTGTCCTTCTTTGCCTGGATGGCCCTATTAACAAAATATATATAGGGGAGGAGAAATACTTAGTATGCAAATACCATACAAATGAATTCATTCCTATTCTCAAATATCATTTTATTTCTTTGGTATTTTTGTTATTTTAAAAAGACATTACCAACTTGAAATATCCACCCTCTTCTCTTAGAGAAACTTGGCATCTATAATCTGATTAGGGATAGACAAATTCTACTAAACTTCTACTAATGATTATTTTCAGGATCTTCTGAAAAGGATTCACAGTCAAAGTGGTACAAAACTGACATATGTTTACAGTGAATGGTGTGAAGCAATGATGTCATTGAAGTCTTTGGACAATCTGATAGATAATGGTTATTGTTTTTATCACCTGTTGCTTCTGCTGAGTACATCCCTAGACTTTGGCCTCAAAATCCCACTTTAATGACATCACTGAATAAATATCAGAAGAATCCATTTGATTCATTAGGTCAAAGCCCAACACATTGGAAGTATTTTGCTTCCCCAGAATGGCTAACCAGAGCTCTCCTGCCTTCTTGGCATTCCTTTTCATAGACATTCTGAATAGAAAATTCCATTTTATTGTCTGAGCAAATTACTTTTAATAGCCTCCAACTGAATCCATATACCAGGGTTTCAATGGGAGACACAACCATATAATTGAAGTCCTATTCCCTCTTCAACCGGGATTGCATGTGCATAACATAAGGAGCAGGGCTTCAATCATATATCTTGATTTTTACCCTGCTTCACAACCCCTTTTAAACTTATCTAAACCGGGGACCATTTCTACAGCTTGGAATAATGAAATTCTATATGTAAGTTATTTAAAATGAATAATTTAAACTGTCCTGAATCTAGGAAGGGTATTATGGAATTTGGGGAGAAGGCAAAATTAGCTTTTCAAATAGGAACTCTATGGTACCATACATAGGAGAATGTAAGGTTATTTAGAAACAAGTTGTTTAGTTGTCTTTCCTGCCAAATGGGTAGTCTGGAACCAGATAGCATGGCAAAAATTATTTCCTACTCCCACTCTTCTTTCAATATGGGAAATACAGAATGAAATACACTCTGTTACAAACATTTTTCATGCCTTTATTTGTTTGATTGTTATATATGGGATGGGGAGGCTGCTGCAGAGCTTCCCCTGAAAATAAATTATCAGAGGTCACTAGGAAAAAAGAAAGTTGAATGGTGGTGGAGGGAAGCAGATTTTGGTGAATATCACATTTCCCATAATATATAATTTTAGGCCACAAACAAAATTAGAGTCACAAAATATTTCAAAATAATAACTGACATAATCCAGCTATATATGGATATTAGCATACCATGAGGCCGTTCTTGCTACATTAATAACACTAGCATCTAGAGGTTGCCTTCGAATGTACAAATTAGTATCGACAATATATCAAGCCAACAAAGATGTTCTTTGATTTTAGATCCAAATATTTCTAAAGATAATGGAAAAGCAAGTAAAGCACCGAAAGTATTTCTCCATTTGATGTGTTTTCTCTGGAAGATAGGAATTGATTATTTTTATCTGTCACCAAACATTACACTAAAGTACGCCATTAAAGTTATGGCACAACAAGATGAAAGAAAACAGTAATAGAAATATTTTACTGCCAGTGCAAATCAATAGCCTGAAGATTTTCCCACTGGGTTAAATCCACAGGCAAGTTAAGAGTATAATAAATCTTCAGCTTTGTTGTCCATCTCCAAAATGTAAGAATAAATATTAGACTCACTGTGTGATTTAGGTTGTAATCTTACATAGTTACTTAGAATCAAGATTAAATTAGATTTACTTCTGAGTAGAAATGTACTACAGGTAGTCCTGGACTTACAACAGTTTGTTTGGTGACTGTTCAAAGTTACAACGGCACTGAAAAAAGTGACTTAGGACTGCTTTTCACAGTTATGACCTTTGCAGCACCCCTGTAATCACGTGATCAAAATTCAGATGCTTGGCAATTGGTTCATATTTATGACCGTTGTTGTGTCCCAAGGTCATGTGATCAACATTTGCGACCGTCTGGCAAGCAAAGTCAATGGGCAAGCCAGATTCACTCCCTTCCAACATTATTATTATTATTATTATTATTATTATTATTATTATTATTATTATTATTATTATTATTATTATTATTATTATTATTATTATTATTATTATTATTATTTACTAATCAACTGCAGTGATTCACTTAACAACTGAGGCAAGTAAGGTCTTAAATTGGGGCAAAACTCACTTCACAAACGTCTCACTTAACAACAGAAATTTTAGGCTCCATTGCAGTCGTAGGTCGAGGACTACATGTACTAGGGTTGCATCATCACACTCATTTCATTTTGCTCTGCTCTTTTAATACCTTTAATACTTTAGGGCAGGGGCCTTCAAACTTGGCCCTTTTATGACTTGTGGACTTCAACTCCCAGAATTCCTCAACCAGGCATGCTGGCTGAGGGATTCTGGGAGTTGAAGTCCACAAGTCATAAAAGGGCCAAGTTTGAAGACCCTTGCTTTAGGGCAAATATTTCATTTCTTTTTGCCCTTAAAAATCCAACTTGTAACTCAACTCTCCTCTATTCTGATCTCTTTTTGTTTATAAGCGCAATAATAAAAGGATTGCTACCTTGGCAATATATGTGTCACTCTTATTTTCAGTTACCTAGAAGTAAATCTCACTGAATTCAGTGGGATTTATTTCCAAGAGATCAGAGTGTGATTGCGCTGTACCCGTTATTATCTTCAGAGAGATTTAGAAAGCCTAGTTGATAGGCTGGGAATCGATAAAAAGAATTTTCAACACATTGAGACTAAAATAACCTGGGGATAGCAATGACAGCATAACTGGCACAAATTCTATATTATGTTGAAACAAAAACATATATTAAATCAGGGCTGATTTAACACAGATGTGCTATTCTTCAAACGTGTTAAATTCCTGTCAGGTCATCAGCACAGATATTGTAACTGATATGAGTTGTAGGCTCGCATATCTGCAGGGTATCAGCCCAGGCAAGTCTGCACAAAATAATGAGGGCATATATTTAAGCATAAATCCTAAACTTTTGTTCCTCTTCTCTCCCTTTGTAACTATGAGGGAGATGGGGGCGGGAGAACCTTTTCTATTTGTATACCATACTCTCAGAGTATACCATACTCTTTAAAGTTAAATTATCTGAGAAATAAAGTTATTCTCAGATAAATATAGTAAGTATGCCAACTGTAACAAATTGGTTTTATCTGTGTATCTACCTCCTTTTGCAAGATGCCTAATCAAGCAGTGTAAAATTGGAAATGGTAGTTAATACAGCCTAGCAGTCCCATGTGAAGCCAAACAGAGATTTAATAATCTATGTTGCTTATCTGAGGAGGTTTGTGCATATATGTTTACTTCTTTTTGTTATGTTCTCATCGTATGCTAAATAAATAATCAGAGGAGCTGGTGGTACAAAGTTTCCCAAGAGTGTTCCCAATAATATATCTATTTATTTTTTTTATTAGATCACACTCTAAGCCAGGGCTAGGCAACCTTGGCTCTTTTATGAATTGTGGACTTCAACTCCCAGAATTCCTGAGCCAGCATGGCTGGCTCAGGAATTCTGGGAGTTGAAGTCCACGAGTCATAAAAGAGTCAAGGTTGCCTACCCCTGCTCTAAGCCATAATGGATTAATTTGTAATTGCCATGCAGTAATCTGACCACTAGATTAATTGATCTAATACAGCCAGCTCTTTCTGGCATTGGCTCTACTTCATATATACAAATCATATGGTTCACTATGAAGCTTTGGAAATTTGAGTATCTGGCTTCATAAATTATGCAATATCCCCATTTGTCTTCGGTAAGAGGTAAAGAGAATCCTTAAAAACATGGTTATCCACTGTAGAAGACAGTTGCTATTATTTGTATCATTACATCATCTGAGTGAAAACAATAATTCTAGTAAATGTCTATGGAGATTCTCAGTCATCCAGGTCATGATTGTTCCAAAGGTGCTTTTTCAAAAGGCAAATGGACTTTGTTTTTCCTGGAAGACGTTTCGCTTCTCATCCAAGAAGCTTCTTCATATTCTGTAGCATATGTCATTTGTGCTGTGTGATTGCACAACGAACACAAATTACAAAATCTACATTCACAGCACAATGACATCGCGATGTGTGGGATATCATCATGGCTTTTAATGGACCCCTGGATTTAAATGGTCATTATTAATCCATCAAGGCGACTCTAATGCAAACCCAAACTTTTGTTTGGTAAACACATTTCCATCTATGTGATAACTATTTTGTTTTTAATAAAGATGCTCTAGCTCACAAAAGCAGAATAATTTTATTGTTTCATTTTGAAATTGATTGTTTACCTTTGGAATGAAAAGTACCACAATGATTAGAATTCAAAAGCTATGACTTCAACCTTAACCCAAAAGCAATGAAACATTTTTTTCCAGTATTTGAGGGGCTACCACAAAGAAGAGGGGGTCCAAAGCATCAGAGGGCAGGACAAGAAACAATGGTTGGAAACTGATCAAAGAGAGAAGCAACCTGGAATTAAGGAGAAACTTCCTAACAGTGAGGACAATTAACCAGTGGAACAACTTGCCTCCAGAAATTGTGGACACTCCATCGCTGGAGGTTTTTAAGAAGAAACTAGACAGTCACTTGTTTGAGATGGTATAGGTTCTCCTGCTTGAGCAGGGGGCTGGACTAGAAGACCTCCAAGATCCCTTCCAGTTCTATTCTATTCTATTCTATTCTATTCTATTCTATTCTATTCTATTCTATTCTTACAGAGCAGTTTGTTTAATTTAAAAAACAGAAACTTGTATCATGTTAATTTCCAATATTTTATACCTATCCTATACTGGTCAGGCAACTAAATGCATTTTAAAAAAATTTCAGTACCAGTGCAATTTCTCATCTGCCATTTCAATGACCTTTTTAAAAAAAATAAAAGCTTAGATGAGAAATGTGGATCAGGTTGAAATAATGAAACTGGATATGCTTTATATGTTCTGCTTTGAGCTACTGGTGACGCAACTTCCTTGTCGAAATTCATGTGCATACCGCTGCAAAGTAATTTTTTTTTAACCCAAAATATAAAATGGACTAAATTGCATATCACTTACCGGAGGGCCATCAGTACCAGGAAGTCCTGACAGACCAGGTTTGCCCTGAGGTCCCTGGAAACAGAAGTGAAGGAAGACTTTTGAAAAAAAAAAACAATCAAAGTTAAGGTAGACTGGCATGCTGCCAATGTTTGCAGGTCAAAGATGATTCCCGAATCAAAATCAAAACTCAGTCAGGAAGAAGAAATGAAGTAGCTCTCCAAAGTTTAAGGCTTATTAGACCATTTTGAAGTTGGCATCCAGCTGAACATCTGGGAATACGTCATTTGAAAGGGGTGGTCTGAATATCATGGCATGATTTTTTTTCAAACTCACTTTCTCATTTCTTTTATCAGTTACATATGTATATCTCATTCTTTTTATCTGAGTATATTGAATAAATATTGAAAATGTGGCAAATTTTAACAGTCATGAGTAGGAGTGAATGGCATGACTCTCAAATTGGCATGAATATCTGGAATCAATATCCATTTCTTCCATTTTTAGATGAATAAAAATGAATGAATGAATGAAAATTGTTCTCATAGAAGCAATTATTAATGCTCAGCTATTCCCAAGCTATTATTCATGTTTTGTTAACATTCATAGGTGAGTACTGCCATTTTCTAAAAACATCACAAGTATAAACACAATTGTGAAATAGTGGAATAAAACAGTCAGACAACTCAAAAAAAAAATATGACATGAGGACAGAGCTTGAATGAGACCTAAAAGAAATATTTTTAATTAATGTGGATTTTAGGGTTTGAACTTTCATGTAATTCCAGGAAATGATGCAGCTGCTTTAAAAGTTTGCAAACGGATACTACATTTGAATCCCTATGCAGTCTGATGAAACTTTTTTTGAATTAAATCTATATTTTTCTAATCAGATCTATTGTCATGTGATTGGAACAAGAAGCTTTGGCCTAACTTGAAACTGATTTTGTTGCTGCGTCAGTAAAACTAGCATTTTGTTAGCATTTATACGAAGCTACACAGCTGTAACAGCTGGAGCTTGCAAAGTGGAAATGAGGAGCCTGGGGCCCAACATGACCATACTCTAAATACAGGCCAGGTGCACAAGACCAGTTAAAGGAGGGAGGGAAGGAGGGAGAGGAGATTGCAAGCAGTCTACTACAAAAGGGTAGCGGAAAGAAGTTCAGGGTTCAAAAGTTAGGACACACGTATACAGAAAACTAGTTTCTCCACCTTTGTAGATGTTCTGTTTATCAGAACAAAGGTTGTTTGTATCTGCAATTTATCTACTCAAGCCCCAGAGTCTCCAAGGTCAACTGGAGTCAGACAGTGCCAGGGCAACTTTTGATAATAGTTACAAAGGAATGGTGAATTGGTACTGCAGTAGATGCCATATGTATTTGAAAGAATAGTCTTCACATCTGTTGCTATCAAAGCATTCTCAAAAATCTAATACCATCTTTTTAATTTAATAGGGGGTTTTTTTTTGGCTTTCAGGTAAAAGTTGCCAACAGAAGATAAGCCAATCAATGGTTACTAACCAAATAGGATATATATTTATCTTCATTATCATGCTTTTCAGTATGTAATGGTATGTGTATGGGGGGGTGATGTTGCCTTCAATCAAATAAGAGAGGGCATAGCCCAGTGGTGGCGAACCTATGGCACGCGTGCCAGAGGCGGCACTCAGAGCCCTCTCTGTGGGCACGCGTGCCATGCCCCGGAGATGGCAAGGGACTGGCCCCTGCCGTCCTGGCCCTGCCCACCCAGTCTGCCATGACCACCACGGCCACGCCCACCCGGCACCCGGTGATAAATAAATGGGTTTTGGGTTGCAATTTGGGCACTGGGTCTCTAAAAGGTTCGCCATCACTGGCATAGCCTGTCAGCTGCATGATGGGCAAAGAAAGAAATTCATAAAGAACACCCACCCACCCCCAACTTCTCAGGCTATAAAAAAAAACAGGTGGAAGATTTGTACTATCAGACTTGCAACATTCTGTTAATGTAGCCTTACAATAAAGTAGAATTATCTCACCTGGTTGTGTTTCCTGTCTGGTCTACCTGGAAAAGCTGACACACTATCATGATCACTACTGTGCTTGTGTTCAGCTTATAGGTTTCCAAGATCTTTTGGCTACCATGAAGTTGTCTAATTCAGCAGAGTACTTTTTTATGTCCTCATGCATGTGAGAAGATGCATCTTGTAAACATGTTATTTTTTAGAAATGAAATAAATTTAAATGAAACAATTTAAACATGAATTCAGCGACTAACATAATGTATCTAGTGTTGATCACAGTATGGATCAAAGATATGGATTTTCTTCATTATCATAACTGGCTTGATATAAGAATGTCTTATTAATGCGGTATTGTCCCTTCTATTGCAGCTTCATTTCTTTTCTGTCCTAGAGAAGGTATCTCAAATGCGGGGGCTCTTTTTGAGATATGAACATCCGATTTCTAGAGTTCTATTTCAAGAAAGACTCTCCAAAGATAAAGGAGATTCCCTATAGTGCTTAGTGCTCGACCTGTGACAATCACAGAGAATGAAGATAAAGAGAAAAATCCTCAACCGCATCACCACTTAGAATGCTTGGTTAAAGATGATTGACCAAAGAACCCAAAGAATGAGAGAGGAAGGAAATGAAATAGGCTATAATTGATATAATGGAAAATTAATCCATGCAGAAACTATCTTGAATGTTGACTATGGAGATTCTCAGTCATCCATGGTTGTCCCAAAAGGTGCTTTTACAAAAGACTGCTGGAGTTGTTGTTTTTTTCCTTGAAGATGTTTTGCTTCTCATCCAAGAAGCTTCTTCAGCTCTGAAGCTTGATGTGCTTCAGTTTCTTCAGCTCTGAATTTTGATGTTGCTCCATGCACATTAATAATGCCTCATGGAAAGGCACCTGAGAGTATTTCCCATAGAACGTAGATATCCTGAGGCCAGGGAAGTCTGCCAGAATCTACATCTCTGCCTTATCTTCACGAAACTGATAGGAACCAAGGGCCATTCCAGGCATTCCATGTATGCACATCATCTCTATGAGAAATAGATGTGCTTAGAAATGCTTCTCATAACAGTGAAAAGACTTTATAAAGACAAGTTCTAACTGACATAAAGGAACCAAAGAACGAGACTGATTTTTAACAGCAAGCAAAGGAGCTCAGGTTTCTCTGTTTAATACCAACTGGTTTCACTCTCCCTTCAATATAAAAAAAGAAATTCTATTTCAAGGGCCTGTTGTAATTAGTTTATTCTTTGACATAGGCTGCTATTTTGACTTCAAGTGTCATTGACTCCACTTCAAGTGTCATTGATTCCATTAGACATTGATTCCAGAAAAAGACATTATGGTGTAGAGAGCCACAGAGACAAACTTAATGGAGACAACAGTAAAATAATAATAATAATAACCATGCTTGAGGCCTAGGAAACAAAGAAAGCATGAGAAATGAGCTGAGACTGACCTGACTCTAATTCATTGGCGTCTAATTGGAAAGGAAAGGAAAACTTAAGTCAGGAGTTTAAGATTATGTGTTATATCTATATCAGTAAGATAGAGTGATAGCCAGACTTGTGGGATGTGCCTCCTAACTTGGCTTACTTCAAAGGGTTTACATACAGGTGGCAAAGCTGAAGAAGTGAAATTAGCACTTTCAAACATAAAAAATGGTACTTATTCTGATATTGTAAATTCGATGTAAGTAGAAAATAGAATAATGCAAAATGGATATATTTTACTACCAAATTGCAGATTTTTCTCCTCACAGAGTATATGTAAATAAGATTAGAAATCTTAAGAAAAGTATCAGTGCATTTCAAGAAACTGGACTGTTAGTTGAAATTTACTTTAGGAAAAAGAAAATCAGATCACATCTTAAAAAAGCAGAGATTTTGCCGCTGATTATTCAGCAAAGGAATATTTCTTACTTTTTCACCTGGAACTCCAATTGGACCTTGTGGACCTGGGAGCCCCTGTGGAAACATAAAAAACGCACTATAAGAAATCTACACACTCATATAAATACTTTCTCTAGAGTTGCATCATTAAAAGGAAATCTTTCCTCAGAAGCCCCCTTTTAATGAAACACAATTAAAAGTTAGAGAAAACAAGCTAATTGTGAGAATTTTCATACTGGCAGCTCTGCTGGCAACAGGGATGTCATATGATCCAAGACAAAACTCTCTTATACTATTGCTATTCTTGTTGGTATTTACAGAATCCAAACCATTCATCTCTCCCCAACCCATCCCCCCACCCCAAAAACCTAATTATATTTGGAAGATTTGTGAAAAAGGTAATGTAAAAATTCATTCCTTTTTGTACTAGGACCATTTTTAAGATAATAAGTGAAGTAAGGGCATATGGGACCAGGGAAATGCATATTCAAAGTTTTCATGTCTGACTCTCCTGAATGTTTTCTTAACACAAAAGCTGCAAAACAAGGGCTTACCTGCGGACCTGGGATACCTTGCTGTCCAGGTGGTCCTGGTTCGCCTTGTGGACCCTGTTTTATAACAAATGCACAGGGAAATATTAATCCCTTCATTATTTCACATCATCACTTCAAAAACGGATAGAGTTTACAGAAGGGATGGAGGAATTTTCTATTGATTTCTCCTCCAGACTTTTTTTGTTCCATGGAGACTTCAAACTACAATTGGCAGCATAGGTCAATTAATTTGTGTCCTCTTTCACACCCCTGACTGGTGTATTGGTAGATAGATCGAAGACTCATACTAAGGATAAAATGCAGTTTTTATCCACAATATCTGAGGAACATACAAATAAAAAGACACGACTAGGAGAAATATCAATTTGTAGGTTGTTATTTTGGATTTTTTTGAAGAAAAAAAAATGTATTTGCCTCAGCTACTCAAAGAGAAAAGAATTGAATCTACATACCAGGTTTCCTTTTGGGCCTGATGGTCCATCAACGCCTGGGATTCCCTACATAAGAAAATCAGAGAAACTAATATAGGTCACCACCACATTCAAAGGAAATGTCAAAATATAAGGTATTTCTTTTTTTGAAATACATACAGGTTGTCCTGGTAGTCCTGGAGTTCCTCTTGGACCCAATAACCCTCGTGGACCCTGTGGGAAAAATGTTGCTTAGGGTTAGATTTTTGGTACACTTTGAAAAATGTAACTGAAAGTCCTCCAGTAAAACCCAAAGAAAATAGCAAAAGTTAAACAGCTCAAATAGCTAATTATTATCAATCACTGAGATAATGAATTCAGTCTTCCTTTTCTTCCTGTTTTGCACAATGGAGAAAGTTTTCTTCCTGTTTTGCACAAATGGAGTAGTACAGAAATGGTGATAGTGGATCCTAAGGCTTTTTTACTTTTCCCGTGTACCTTAACAAGGTTCAAATTGCTGAGACAAATATTCTCAAAAGCTGGTCTGTAGGCCACCAACAGCCTGCATAACTTCACTACATTCGTAAGCCAGAGATCTTTCACTGCTGTAACCTAGCTTTTCCATGTATGTATGAACAGCACCAACTTCTAATGCACAAAAGCCAGCTGATTTTTAAGAAAGAATCAGTGGCTAAAAGCTGGTACATTGAAGCCTACAAGTGATAATATGATTAGCTATGTGAGAAACCTCACCACGTTGAGTAGGTCTTGAATGAGGCTACCTATTGTAAGTGTGTATATTCTGTGTTAAGTGGAATTTTGATCATATGTAGGCATATCAGCAAGAATGAATAAGGAACACAATTATCAATTATTAGCCCAAAACACGCATTCTGTTAGAGAGAAGTTCCCTGAAGATGGGCTCCAGCATGAATCCGAAAGCTCGGAAGACAAAACTTCATGATCACAGTGACCGAAACAGGTTGAATCCTGTAACATTATCCTGGGACACACATATTTGTCTCCATTTGTGACAGTTATCAATATTAAAAATGGGATTTCATTGATGTGAAGATCTCATCCCACCTGCTTATTACTAAGGCATTTCTATTATAAAATATTCTTGACTAGCAAGTTATGTAAAATAATTAATGAGATAAGGGAATATTTAATTCTGGAGTACAGGTAGTCCTTGACTTACAACCACATTTGAGTCCAAAATTTCTGTTGTTAAGTGAGACATTTGTTAAGTGAGTTTTGTCCCTTTCTTGCCACAGTTGTTAAGTGAACCACTATAGTTGATAAGTTGGTAAGTTAGTAACCTGGTTGTTAAGTGAATCTGGTTTCTCCATTGATTTTCCTTGTCAGACGGTCACAAAAGAGGACCACATTACCTTGGGACACAGCAATGGTCAGAAGTATGAATCAGTTGCCAAGCATCTGAATTCTGATCACATTATCATGAGGGATGCTACAAAAGTTGTAATGTGAAAAAGAGTCATGTCACTTTTTTCAATGCCATTGTAACTTTGAAAGGTCACTAAATGAACTGTTATAACTCGAGGATACCTGTACTTTTTTGAATAAAATTGAGTTTAAAATGGCCTTTCAAAATGAGCAGGAAGGCATACATGACAAAAATACAACCACAATCCTTATCTTAATTTGCTGAACAATATGAACATTAAAACTTTTAAAGATAAAAATGTGAGGGAAGTCATATATGTTGAACTGGATGCTCCACACATCTACTAAATATTTATTTAGTTGTCCACTACCTTAAATGAACTAGAATGTTGCCCACCTCCCATTATGAGTTTTATTTTGTTTACCCTTTAAACTTAAAAAGAAATAATATAATCAACAAATGAAGCATACAATGTCAAAAACAGATTACGCTTGTGAGAAAAATAAATGAGGTAATCTACTAAAGAAAAGAATGTAATTTTAGTCCAGCAAAAAGATATTTAACAAAATCAAAAGGACTTTTGTTAGTTTTCTGAATACACAACTGCCCCCTAATAATCATTAAAACTTTTTCAGCCCAGCTACTCTAGTCAGAACATGTATTGGAAAGGATCAAACTAGCCACCCTAATCCAAGAAATCCAGTCTAAATTGTCATTTACTTATTCTCAATCCTTAAACAGGAAAGAAGACCAGAAATTGACAAATAGTTATATAAATGAATGGGTTCCAAATAAGACTTCTTTAACAGAAATCTCCCAAATTATTTATTTTGGAAGAACAGCAACATATTCCTCTTTTAGATACATGTATTTATAAATACGGAAGCCCATTTTGTCCAGTGATTAAAGGTGCTGGACTAGAAATCAGGAGACTGAATTCTTGTCCTGCCTCAGGCATACAGCCAGCTGAGTGACTTTGAGCCAGGCCCTCTCTCTTAGCCCTGGGAAGGAGGCAAGCAAGGGCAAACCACTTCCAAAGGAAACTGCATGGATGTATCCATATAGTCATCAAGAATCAAGACTGACTCAAAGATATAAATATACATTTACAATTATATATAGTAATGTGCTCTCAGAGCTTCAAAAAAAGTATACAGTTTAAACTGAAAATTAAGGGATGTCTCTTAAAATTCCAAAGATGCCATTTTGAGAGCAATTTGAAAAGCCACTAATTGCTGATCTTTTTTCTCAAATCAAGGTCATCTCAACTTTGAAGCTCTGAATTTTTTTCCTATACCCAACATAAAGACACAGATAGCGTGAGTTCCCTTTCCTAGTCCACCTTGAGGATTCTGTGATCAGTAGAAAGGGACCATACAAGTTACTACTTTCATCCAGAATCATTCTCTAATTAACAAAACTCCCCATGTGGACAGCATATACCTACACGCAAAAATACATGCATAAGAACTTTAGAACCAAGAGGGAAAAATTATTTCTATTCTTTTCTTGCATACATTTATTAATCCAAAGAATTTAGAATATGTCATGCACGTAATGGAGTTGTTTTCTTCTATGACAGCCAATACATTCTAAAAGATCAGTGTGAATTTTGCATTTATATATGTAAGATGGATCCATAAATTGTTGCAGTGATAAAATTCCCCAAGTGGGACTTATGGTGAAATTCACTAAAATGAAATAAGCAAGTGGAGGAAAAAAAATGTCCATGAGTATTCATTAATAAAAATATAGATGTACTAAAAAGAGAGATAGCATTAGTTTACTTCAGTGAGGAATATAGAACTAAGAACTCTTTATGAACAAATCAGACATATCAGCTGAATTTGCCCCCTAATTATATTTTATTCCAAAATGGTGCCCTGGACAGAGTACAGTATATTTTTTCAGAGGCAAATAGATTCACAACAAAAGCGATCATGAGTACTAAACAAATAGAAAGCTTTGCTTACAGATTCACCTGGAAGGCCTCTTGGTCCAACCTCACCGTCTTCTCCCTTATTTCAAGAAAAAACAAAATGGAAAGGGGTTAAGTGTGAAAGAAACAGTACTTTTAAACTTCTATTTTGCAGGTGAAAAAAGAGAGGAAAACAATGAATGACATACTCTCATTCCATCTTCCCCAGGAGCACCAGGAGGCCCTTGTGGTCCACGATCTCCCTGAAGAGAAAACATGATAAAATCACATTTAGGGAAAGAGATAAAATTGTGTGCTGATGCACATGTTTGAGCTTTATGCTGGCATGTCAGGACATGGCTCCGTTAAAAAGATACAGATTGCTACATGTTATATCACATTGCAAATGCTTCTATTGAAGGCTGGATTCAAAGTACATAATCCAACACAGAGTAAAATACGATATGTTTAAACCCATTGAAATTAGAAGGCTGAAACCTGTTTAATCCTATACTAGGTAGTGGACAATATTTATTCATTCTCTTACAAACAAAACACAATTCTAAGAACACTGCATAGCTTTCCACATTTGCCCATCCTGCTTATTGGATGCTAGAAATATGAACAAAGTTTCTATTGATTTTCATAGGAAAATCAGAGTAATTTTATACCTATACGTTCAGCACTTAATGACAACAACAATAAATGGCTGCTATATAATACTTTTCAAAAGAATCTGCAAATCACGGATTAAGGCATCAAACCAAACCACAATTTAATATACTTCTAGTTCACGCATCCCCTTTGCTCTCTGGTACACGTATGATGTGCAGTTGGGAAACGTTGGTGTCCATGTTTTCTTGACCACAGTTTGCTATATCATCCAACTGCAGAAACTATGGTTAATCACTGCCATGGAAAGTTAAATATTGAATTAACAGGGGAAGCAATATTTGGAAAAGCTCCACCAAGCAGTGATAGAGAGAATAAAAGGAAAGATCCACAAGCCCCAGTTCAGTGTGATTCATCCCTCAGTGTCTCAACTATGCTTTTGCCTGGTATTCAAACACAGTTATTAATTTCTAATTAAATGCTAAAATATTAAGCAAAGTTCCTTCTGAAGGATGACAGTTATGTTCTCTAGGTAGCAAAACATTGTGTCTGAATTCAAATCAAAAGCATTTGGATCTTTGAGGTTTAGAATGAAAAAGAATATATATATAGTCTACACACACACACACACATACATGCACAATAAATAATCTAAATGCATGCACACATTTCAAATTTGCACATGGCAATCCATACCTAACCTCTCATAAAAGCTTAATTATTTGAAATTTCAGATTGCAAAGACTGATTCTCCCTAAGTTAATTTTCCATTTTTGAAATGTACTGTAATTTGTACATATAGGAAGATTCTAATATTGATGCTGCTGTTTCCAGATGCAGAAAAAAAGCTATCAAAAAATTAGTATCAAAGGTGAAGTTAAATATTCAAGGAACATATTGATACGATAGCCGGTCATTTACCTAGCCTTAGCAAATATATTCTCAATAACATGATCATAAGAGATATAAAAGAAGTTAATAAACAATGACTGAGAATAGTCACAATCTCACTTTACTTCTTATTTGTTGGGATCTTTGAGTAATTGGATCTTTAGGCAGTCAGAACTAGTAGAAATAATATGTGCTTCCTAGACTAATGTACAAATTAGAATTACATTTTGACTCAGAAACTTTTTAAAATACCTAAGAAAAACATAGTTTATGACATATACATCTAGATAAAAATGTCAATGGTTATTTTATGCAAAAAGTACATATTTAAATTTTCTTACAGATTTTTTTAAAATTGTATAATTAAAGTCGTACTTTCTTCCTATTATAGACATACATATCATTAAAAGAAGACAGTGGAGAGAAGCAAAGTATGCTTGCTTTCATATTACTCAAAATTTCACATAAATTTTGCTATTATTATTATTATTATTATTATTATTATTATTATTATTGTTATTGTTATTGTTATTGTTATTATTTATTGGCTGCTTAACTCTGATGGACTCTGATATAGATTGTAACAAATTATTAAAAATTGAGATCTTGAATTGTTAAAGATATGAGTTAATACTATTTTGGGATAATTAAAAAATACACAAAAAGGTATTTCTAAAGAAGGAAGTAAGAGGATATTGTAATGGGCCAACCTGACTGAACCTGTGATAATCCCATTGATTTTAGCCATCAGAAATTTAAATTGAATTGAATTGAATACTTTATTGACCAAGTATGATTAGACACGTAAGGAATTTGTCTCTGGTACAGAAACATTCAGTGTACAGTTCATGCAAAACAACAGAGAAAATAATAGTAATAGCAATAAAGAGGGGAAGTAAAGAATTAAGCATATTTCTGAATTAAAAAGTCCTCCCATGTAAAAAGCTTCATAATAGACTGATAAAGAGACAGACAGATAGTACGTAAACAGGGTAGTACATATATCATTGTAATTCAAAGATGTTTATCTTTTATTTCCAAATTGCCATACTGAAGAAATAAGGTGCACTGTAGGCAATGTCAAACACCTGTAATTTGTGGGGGACAGCAAAATGGAGGAGTTATCGATTACTTTCTATAGATATTTTTCTAAGTGGATCAATAAGTAGACTTGGGGTATATCAGCCTGCCATTTTTTAAAAAAATATGTGTATCAGTTTAAAATATGTGCACATTTTATCTTATGGGTTCATATTTTCCCAGTGCTAAAGTAGGTAAAGCTTTTGAATTCAGAATTCACCTAAGTCTGTGTTTCATGAGGATATGATTGTCCTGATTTTAACATTTATAAAGCTCAAGTTGAAAAATAACCATAATGTAAGTATAAGTGGATGTGATAGTGCAAATAGTCATCTATAAATAGAAACGATATAAAGAAAAGTACCCATGATTTTAAGGAAATGGGCACTTAAAGGTCACACAATTGCTAGCTCAGCCAAAGTAGCTTAGACAAAGACGGAGACGGAACTGTGAGAATATTTATCAGCCATGGAAAAAGATTCCTGGAGTGATGTATTTAAGTATCACAATAGTGATTAATGTACAGTGCCCTCTGCTGACCATTTACTTCATTGATTTGATTCAAAAGACTACACATCTTCCTATTCAAAATGTTTTCCACCTTATATACTCTTCAAATTAAATGTTGATATGCACAGCTAGGGTCAATGACATGGGCAATCAGCAAAGAGGTACATGAAATATAAACAGTTAATAGAAAGCCAATGAGATGGGGTTAACATTACCCAAACTATCATTATATCAATTTTTCAGGGTAAAAATAGTTATTTGGGGGGGGGGGGCTTGTTTGATACACACAAACTTCCACTTGATGAAAAATGGATATTCTTTTTTTCAAGCTGTTATGGGGTAGCATCTAAAACTTCACTTCCCCAAATGCATTTTTCAATGTCTTTGCACCATTGGTATCCTATACTTTACAAATGAAGCTTTTACGTCAAACTTATGGACACAGCAGAGTTAGCGCTGGGAAAATTTATATTACAGGATCTTTCCTTATAATTTTTTTTACTGCTTGTACATATTCCACAATATGAGTGGAATGGGTTGGCTTTCTTTCACATCCTGAACAAGTTAAATACTATAAGTCAGTGATCCCCCAACTTTTTGGGCTCCAGGGACCAATTCCGTGGAGACAGGTTTTTCTGTGGACCAGAGGGGCATGACTTCCTGTGCTGCCTGCATTCCATGGATGGGGCTTCTCTTGTTTGTGTGGCCCAGTTTCTGGCCTGCCACGGACTGGTGCCAGTCCACGGACTGGGAGTTGGGGACCCCTGGCCTAGATCACTTCCCCATACCAATCCCAATAGTTAGGATAGTTTGTTGGGACTATCCAAGGGGTCATTTTGCGGACCAGTTTCTGGCATGCCACGGACCATTGCCAGTTCACGGACCGGGGGTTGGGGACCCCTGTTATGAGTCCGTCTTTTGTCATTGCCTGATCAGCAAAATTGTAATCTCTGCTTGCTATACACATTCCAACCTAGGCTGGACTTGAACAATATCACCAATAATCTGGAATATTGATTGTAGTAAGACAGTGGCCCAGGACTGCTGCTATGAGGAATCATCAGGCTACTTCTTTGCTCTTGGAATTTTTAAGCAAAATTAAAACGAAAGATAAACAGATGTGAACTATCTTGCCTGCTGGTATGTAATGTTTAGCTTGAATGGCACTTGGTATAACTATTAACTATTGTTGTAATAATGTGCTTTTGGCCTCTTCCCCTTCTGTCTTTTTCCAAACAATTAGAAGGTATAAAGGATAAAGTAGTTTCAAGATATGCTTGGGTAAACACCATCCTAAATATCTGTGAAAGTCCCACAGCATTTAAGATGATACTGAGCAAAAAATGGATGGGTTCAAGAGAGCATGAGAGATAGCTGCATCAATGGTCTGAAATAAGGCCAAACCCAGCTATTTTGGAGTCAGGGGTTAAAGAGCCTCATTCTATTATTCCCAAACTTAACAAGGAAGAGGGGAGGGGAAGGGAAGGGAAGGGGGGAGGGGAGGGAAAATGAGGGACATTTACTGCTGAACACGGGGATGGGGGCATAGGTGGTCCATTCTTGATCTATACTGACAATCCATAAAAGAAGAAACAATGTAATTCAGGGTTTTTCAAGCTGTATTCCACAAAAGCTGAGGAATCTTCAAGAACTTGATAGGATTTCATGAGAGATTACGGAGAAAAAAAAGTTGTCTTGAATGCAACTTTTTTTCTAGTACTAGAGTTCTTCCTCATGATCAAGGATTCTGGGTCCCCCCCCCCTCAGGTAACAAGTTCTTTAAAAGTTTGAAAACTTCTGATCTGAGCTACCACTTTAATCTAGAGCAATATTACTGACTTCAGTGAAAAGATATTTCAATCTGGCTAATGAAAACCTGCGGACGTATTCAAAGTCTACATCTCATACATATTAATTTACTATCTGTTTGATTTCCCTCCCATATCTGGGCATACGTTTCACTGAACTCAATGGGAATTAAGTCTGAATAAACATATGTAGGACATTTAAACATATTGAAATCGCAGGGTCTGGAAAATGTCACAATTGTTTTGGACAATTCCAGATGTAGTTTTGATGTACTCACATTTTTAGATAAAGAAATGTGCATATTTTTCTTACCCTGTGTCCTTTTTCACCTGGTAGGCCAGGAAGCCCATCAAAACCTCTGTCACCCTAATAGGAGTAACAATAATAAGAATTAGGAAAATATTAATAATAATAATAATAATAATAATAATAATAATAATAATAATAATAATAATAATAATAATAATAATAATAATAATAATAATAATCTGGAAAGGATCTTGGAGGTCATCTAGTCCAACCCACTGTTCAGGCAGGAAACCCTATACAATTTCAGACAAATGACTGTCCAGTTTCTTCTTAAAAACTTCCTGTGTTGGAGCATTCACCGCTTCTGGAGGTAGGTTGTTCCACTGGTTAATTGTTCTAACTGTCAGGAAGTTTCTCCTTAGTTCTAGGTTGCTTCTCTCCTTGATCAGTTTCCACCCATTGCTTCTTGTCCTGCCTTCAGGCACTTTGGAGAATAGCTTAACTCCCTCTTCTTCATGGCAGCCCCTGAGATATTGGGACACTGCTATCATGTCACCCCTCGTCCTTCTCTTCATTGAGCTAGACATACCCAATCCTACTGTTCCTTATAACAGTGTGAGCAGTTCATTCTCACATTTTATAATAGTTCTGATAAATGAATTCTACTATACATCTATTTTATTGATGGATATTTTTGCCCTAAAACTGAATGTTGCTTGGAATTGCAACAAATAATTATTCTTAGGATATTATTTCTAAAACCTATTTGGAAAGATAAAGAACATTTTCCTGGCTTAGGATAAAAGTTTCAAATTCTGGAAAGGTACACTTCAGCAAGAAGGTTTTTCTTTTCTTTTCTTTAGATCAAAAGACCTCTAAACATCTTCCCCCTTTTGATTTGAAGACTTGGAGGAGCTGCTGCTCAGATTACCAAAAAAATTTTCATTTCATTTCCAGACATTCATTCATTCAGAAGGAAAGTACACCATGAAGTGGCTTTGTTTCTGGTATACTGCAATGAACTAATGACATCATAGAATAGCCATATTCCACCCAAGGGTTTTCTCTAAAGGTGACCCGGTTTCCTCTATTTGTTAAGGCCTGCTAGCCATGAAGGTGCACTACTGTGTGCAAAAATGGAGCAACAAGTGTGTTACTAGAGCTACAGTACTTCTATTTCATACATAATTCTTTACTCCGCTCTGCAAAGTCAATCAGATTCAATCATGTAATGGTACAAAAGGAGACGTCTGGTTCCTAACTGATATCTGGATGTTACAACAGCCTCCGGATAATCAAAATCCATAATTACTAACCTTAGAACCTGTTTCTCCTGGTATTCCTCTTGCTCCATCTGCACCAGGACGACCCTATGGGGAGAAAAAAAAAGATGTCTGTTTTGGTAGGCAAGGCACATACATCACAATTTTTTAAAAAAACCAACCTCATCACATCCAATAATTCTAGAGGTATCTTTTTTATCAAAATGACAATTTTTAAGCATCAAAACTTACTCTTTTACCAGATTTTCCAGGCAGACCAGGTGGACCTTGAATACCTCGAGGACCCTGAAAGTATATGCATATGTAAGTGCACATGCTACATACACACGAAGAGAGAGGGAGAGAGAGAGGGGGGGAGAGGGAGAGGGAGAGGGAGGGGGAGATGGAGGGGGAGAGGGAGAGGGAGAGGGAGAGAGGGTACTACCGGTACACTGCATCAGGGAAATCATGAGATTCTGCTTCATTATAATCTACCTGAATAGCACTTAGACTTATATACCGCTTCATAGTGCTTTACAGCCCTCTCTAAGTGGTTTACAAAGTCAGCACATTGCCCCCAACAATCTGGGTCCTTATTTTACCAACCTCTGAGTCAACCTTGAGCCTGGTGAGACTTGAACTGCCAACAGTCAGCAGAAGCAGCCTGCAGTACTGCATTCTAACCACTGTGTCACCACGGCTCTTCTCAAACTAATTAATCCACCTCAAATTAAAGTCTTTGATTGATGTCAACTAAGAGACCAATGAAAATGTACTCATTTCAAACAAAACAAAGAATAATCATGTGGAATCCTTTGTTCTCTCTGATCTTGGTTCTTTGTTGCAGATGTTTCATTATCCAACTAGGTAAGATCAACATCTCTGAAAGCACCAAGAATCCCATCATTCCCTTCTGAGCTACATCTATTCTCTTCTATTGGAAGAATAAACAGTTTGCAAAATTCTTCCAGTATTTTTATCCACTTGAAAGGGATTAAAAAGAAAGACTTATTCATAGGCTTGAACACCCATAACATACTGTTCTTTAAAGTGTACAAAATAAGGAGGAAAAAGCAGACACTTCTAAACTGTGGATTAAGAAATCTATCCCATATGGATTGATTAGATCCTACATTGTGTCTCTCCAGATTTGTGTCTCTCCAGGCATAAATCTCTCATTCTCTCTTCTTTCATGGAACCACAGATTTTAAATCAAAGTCTTTGCTGAGTTGTTGACATTTAATATTTTAAACAAGTTTTCCTTCATTATATATCCAGCTGTAGCTTTTGAAAGAGTGGACAAGTTTGTTGGCTTCATTTTCTATCACATTTACTTTTTTAAAAAGGACATTAATTCTTGAAGATTTTTTCAAATGCTAGTAAGTTATTTTTAGAAAATTAAATCTCCTAGATCTGTACTATAAATCACTGTTTCTCAATTTTGTCAACTTTAGGATATGTGAACGTCAACTCCCAGAATTCCCTAGTCAGCATGGGTGCCTGGGACTTAAAAGTCCACAGATCTTAAAGTTGTTAAGTTTGAGAAACACTACTATAAATACTTGATATACTGTTTACTATGTTTCTATAACTCTTCCTATGTGACCAGATGTCTAAGTTGTTTACAATGCATTTTTCTAGTAGGAATGTGCAACCTATTTTAACCTTTTTACATCCAGAAAATGTATTCCATGTTTGCAATTATGGAAAAATGTTCTGAACAAGCAAGAAGATTTGCAAAAATATTATTAGATCCATAAAGCAGGAACACAGGGGACAAAATCACAGGCAACACAAAAATACTTGGATCCAATTTGCATTTTTATGGGGGAAAGATGAAAAATAAACTAGTAAAAAATATAAACTAGGATAGTATTCAGTAAGGCAAAGAACATTTGTATGGAGGGGGGGACAAAAACAGAAATTATTAGTTCTTTGGAAACATAATTTCCATAAACAGGAAATATTATTGTTACAAATGCATACCAGGTAAACAAAACAAAACAAAACAAAAGCATTGTTGATCTGTTGTGGGGAGGCATTAAAATTGAGTTTATGTTTATCCAACTAAATTAATGTACATACTCAGTGTTAGGGCAAAAACAAGAATGAAGAAATACAAAAACAATTAAGTTGGATGCTTGAAGCCATAAGGTTTCAAAGTAAGTCCCCACATGGAGGTGATGGATTGAATGAAGTGATGCTGTTGGTATCAGATTATACCTGGATTTAAGGTCAAATTGCCTTATGAAACAATTCTCTCAGTTACTGGGACCACTGCAGTAGCATTCTGGGATTAAAATTGAGGGACCCCATTACAAATCCACCATTTGCATTTGCTTCTTTGTTGCTGATAGACTCTTACCTGAGGTCCTGGATCTCCACCGTCACCTTTGATACCGGATGAACCAGGACTTCCCTGCACCCAAGAAAAAATGCCCAAGAGCATACTGTTTTAGTTCAATCTGACTCACATTTTGACACAGAAAAATAAACACTTTTGTATTGCTGATTATGATTCTATGGGACATGTTCACATCAAACTGGTTCATAATTTTATTTATTGCTTTCCAGCCATCATCTTAAACTTAAAATTTACTGTCCAAGAATAAATATCTTTAAAGATACTGGTCAACCCACTTCTAGTCTCAATAATAAATTGAAGGCATTTCTACATGCATTTTATCACCAATCTGGGTTCACACCCCTATAATCTCATACTGATAAGTAATTATGGTCAACCTCTATTTTCAATTTGCAGTGCTGGAGCTTTGTGGCTTGCAGGCCATTGTTCACTGTCTCCCAGTTATAAGCATGTTTCAAGATTTCTTCACCACACCAACAACACGAACATGGTACAAGCTGATTTTTGAGTTCTCAAGACTGGTGTAAGGACAATTATGGACCATTGTAAGGATAGCTATGAAGATTTAGAGAATGACAGTGGTGGGCTCTGTGGAAGAATCCTGAAATTATTCAGTTTCACTCCTCTAGACTTCAAGTTAGATACCTAAGAATCCCATCATCCCTGAGAAATTAACGAGAAAGGGAGTGGACAGCATGCTACAAAATCCTTTTCATCAACATCAAAACAATCCCTCCAACTCTATTGGTGAAAATATGTGCAGCATTTCCTGCCAGGACTGATGTAATATGATTCTGCATAGAAAAAAAATATTCCATATTCGAGGACAGCTCCAATGGGAAACTCTCGGTACTGGTAAGAACACTATCCTGTTTGTTCTTCCTTTTCAAAAAAAGTCTTAGTGAGATTTTCTTCTCTCTTGGAGAAGGCAGATCTCTCTGCCTGCCTGTGTGTTTATCTATCATAAGGGACTTTGGGCAGTACACAAACGTTAAAAAATGACAAGCCAAAAGTGAGAACTTTTCCAATACAGTAATATCGCTTGTCTGCAAACTGGCTATTATCTCATTCCAAAAACAAATTATATTCCACTGAAAACAGGAGATAAACAATGACAGGAGCAGTAAAATATTAGGATCCTTTTTAGTGACAGATGTTAGAGTGGCCCTTCCGCTGCAAGATACCTTCAGACATCAGTTACTTGCTTCGTTTGCAGCCATCCTCAAAGTCATTCTGATAACCTGGCAAAGAAGCATTGAATGGGAGCAGAAGGACCAGTTTTATAACTTCCTTCCCTACAAATCACAGAGGCTAGAGTGGGCTAATTGTAGAGTTATCTGGGCCAAAGGATATGAATCAAAACTATGCAGCTGGGGAACAGTTAACCGCAATGTTTCGTTTTATTCTTCCTTATACTTCCCTAGAGAAGGGTAGTACTTTTTTTTCTTACAGAATTATAGTTGGGAACATAATAAGTGGTCTTTGTATAAAGATCCCTTTGCATTCGCTCCAATTCATCCCTTCTTATCTGTGCCTCTCCCATTCCTCTTCTAGGTTTTATCTATGACAGGTGCTTTGGCAGGCCTTCCCTGCTTTCACTTCAATTGTTCATTTATTGGCTTTAAAATATTCTGCTAGGGGATGGTAGCCTGTAAATTAACAAATAATGCTATACTTTCCAGACTAACTGTGCTGAGCATACACTAAATAAAAAGCTAGAGGAATGCAATCCCACATCACCCAGATCCCAGAAGTTTTTGGTTGGGGATTTTAAAATGAACAAACTGGATTTGGGGATTTCTAAAACATCCTACTATTGGGACTTTGCTTTGCTTGTGAACAGGAGAATATTATAAGTGCTTACTGTGAGGGCCTTGCAGCCAATTAATTGTTGACATATTCCTTCCACCCACTACTACTATTACTACTACTACTACTACTACTACTACTACTACTACTACTACTACTACTTCATTTTTTAAAAATAGTTTTCATTTCACTACTGACAGACTCTTGGATGAAAAAATACAAGAGTTGGTCAAGCAGGACATATTCCAAAAGAAGGTATCTTCTCTATTGCAGATCATAACTTTCCACCTATTAAATATTCTACAAACTGACCCACCTCCATTTTCTACATCTTCTTCACTCCAGGAAGAAAAGAATTTTAAGATGCCCTCTCTGAAGTCTTGATCAGTAGAAATATCAGTTGTTTATAGTGAAACAAGGAGCTTGGGACTAGAGACTGTGAGAAAGATTCTTTGAGGTCCACAACTGTAAGGTCTCTACTTGATTTAATCAACAGGGTAAATATTTCCCAACACCACTACTGTCAAAAAGGTCAATATCTTTACAAAGTTTTCTGTCCTTCACAAGTTTGCAAATATATGTTAATTTTTGCAGTGAGAGAATTGTAAAAATATTTAGAAGTGGGCTTGTTTTCATGGACAAAGCCAACAAAAGTTTTGCCTTTTTTTTTAATCAAGAAAACTGCAGCACATTTTCAGATGTAATTCCCACTACAGCAAGGGGGCAAACTGGCGGCCCGCGGGCTGGATGAGTCATGCACAAGCCACGCCCCCCCAGCTCCACAAAGGCAAAAACCGTTGCAATACGTCACGATACATCACGTGATGCGATTGAGTGTGGCACCCGTGCACTACAGAGTTGTCAGATTACTCATATAGCTTTGAGGCACGTCTAGCATTGCTTGATGCCATAACAAAACTTTGTTTTGTTAAATACAAAGAACATAACTCTCTATTTCCTCAGCTATAAATAGCAAATGTTCCTACCCAAAGGATTCAGATTTTCATTGTACTAATCCTTCTACCTGCACAGCTGACAAAAACAGTTCATGTTTACAATATATTTTCAGCAGGACATCCCTGGAGCCTGATGTTTCTTGGCCATGTCGGACAACAGCCATATAATCACCAATTAACATGGCCTTTGGGAATTAAGGCAACTGGGGCAGTCCGGAACATGTAAAGAATTCTGGGCTAAAGAACAGCTATCATTTTTCTTCCAAAAAGAATGAGGAGGATTTCTTGGAGAGACTGGAGAATGAGGAAGAAAAGTTAACAGATTGGAAAAAGTTAGCATGTTTGTTATGTAGAAGACAGTTTCCCAATAAGGAAGCTCTCGTTAGGCATCATCAGCTTTCTGATCTCCATAAGCAAAATATGGATATTTACAGGAGATCTAGGCTATCAGAGCAAGAACTTGAAGCCTTGGAAATGTGTGTGTGAGAGAGAGGAAATACAGATACAGAGTTGGAGAAGGTGGCTCTGTTGACTTCAGCTACCTTCATCTTGGGCAAGATGGTTACAATCAATACAGGTTATCAGCAGTTTTATCAGAATCAAGCAGGAACATTGGACACAGATACAACTACAACTTCTCACAGCCCCTAAGGCGACTATGCTGGCTAGCCTGCTTTTGCAAATCAGGGAAACAGCACACTACATTAGGAACTAAATATATCCTTTCATTCTGAATGGCATACTTCCTCTTGACCTTTATGTCTAAGTGTTTTTCTACCTTGGTGTAATTACTGAGGTTCCTCAGGAGACTACTAGGTTTATGCAAAGTCTGTAATCTCGGTTGTAATAAGTATCATTTTATATTGTTGTAAATACCCTTGGATAGCTTGGAAAGAGATAGTAACTGCTTAACTGCAGCATTTAAATGAATCATTTTGATTATCTCTGTCAACAGAGTATCCGTTTCATAAAATAGGAAACCATCATTAGAAGAAAATTGCTCAGGTAATTTAACAACTGCAGAGCTAGTGTTCTGCTTTTGTCATTTAAACATTTAAAATGCTGGCAAATGTCAAATCTCTATCCAGTGAGTCTATAATATAGAGGTCTGCAATTTTGCTCTGCTTGTTATCCAAACTACACAACTGGGACATTCTGTTGGCCATTTTAAACTCCATGCTGAAATCAGAATCTCCAGTATTCTCCTCATTAAATCCTGTATTTAAACTACCTTAAATAATTGAGGGGGGGGAAACCCTCCTATTTTGTAATAGGAGATAAATTCCTAAATAATTTTCCCCAATACAAATAATACAAAAGTGGAGGAAATTAACTCTTCAAAAATTGCAGAAATGGTAGAAATTCCCAGGGGAAAAATAAGCATATTGAGAAATATGTTAACCATCAAATGAAACATTTATTTAATTTTATCAAGAGAGTCCGTGGCCAGGCCAGGGTATGCTGGATTCCAGTAAAGGACCATATGGAAACTCCCTAGCCTTGCAGCTGAACCTCATTGCAGCCTTGATTATGGGACCACACCCTTTATTGCAACCTGGGGATGGAGGTTAATTTAGGCGTATGCAGAAATGTCCAGTTTTGTCTTTTAGTATTTGGCAACTTCTTAGTATCTGTTGCCTCAGGCAGACATTTCATTCTGCTTAATACAGTATAAGGCTGAGCAGCTCAGAGACTGTGTAAACTTCTGTCACATAATTTCAAAATCCCCATAAGTTATGCTCCCCAAATTCATTTGCAAAACACTGAACAACAGAAGACTGATTTCCAAACAAATGTCAGTGGAAAGCAAATGTAAAGGACATATAAACCAGCAGAACAGCCAATAATAATTTTTAAAAGCAAAACACAAACCAACCCATGCATGATTGAAAATCCTAGCTCCATTTACTCATGTAATATTGTTGCATGATTACATCCTCCTCTGAAATCAATCGCTGCCTAATTTTGTTTTGTACTGTGCTTTCTAGCTTCTAAAAGATTGGCAGTCCCTAAACTTAATGCTAGGGACAGCTCCTAGACAGATACACCAATAAATCATTCTTATTAAAATCCCAGCCAATTGAATGGCATTGCAACTGAGATAAATCATTTATGAATCACAACTTTGGATAACCAATTTTTGCATACCACAGGACCAGATCTTCCAGTAAGTCCCATTGGACCAGGGGGCCCCCTCATTGCAATCTGTAATGTAAACAAAAATAAATATTTAACATGAATCACTTGCTAAACTACTCATAACCTCCAACAAATATGACAATTGCCATTGATAATTAGCTATTTGCTGAAATGTAAACATTTTTTAGCCTTGCTACCTTTTATGAGGAAAGATTGTGAAGCATCATGACACTGGCATGATACAGATAAAACCCCAAAACTTAATTTTAGTAGGTCTTGGATTCTATAAAAATAAGAGACAATGTTCATTTTGTAAAACTGAGTAAGATATTATTATTATCTGCTTATCACAGTTATAACACATGATGGTCATGTGACTGACCCGATTTTACAATCTTTTTTGTGGTGGGGTTGTTAAGCAAACACTGTGGTCTTAAGGGAACCCATAGCTAACTATGGGCTAGTTTTGCCAAAAACTGGAAGGATGGGTTTTAACAAAACCATTGTAAAACATGTCCACAGGCCCATGGGATGCTGAAAATAGCTGTAAACGTGGTCCAATTGCCAAGCACCTGAAGTACAGTCAGGTGACTGTGGCGGGGAAGGCTGATTGCCAGAATTTTGAATCCAGGTTGTAAGTACCCCCCTTTAGTAGGTCCACTGTAATTTTGAATGGTCACTAAGCTACCAGTCATAAGTCAAGGACTACCTGTGTTAAATGCCGGGGAAATCAGGAGATTCTGGCAGTTCAAATGCAAATAAATGAGATTAATTGCTAGCTTAAGCTCCCTACCAGTATCTGACCAACTAGCGATCAAGGGAAATGCATGGGAGATAAGAGAGGAATTCAAGGTGGGCTGGACTTAGATCTCTTAGAGGCACGCAGGGACTCATGACTTATAACGTGTTTGACCCCTCCCTCAGGCTCAGCCCAGTCATCTCCTACAACCTATACTCTAGCCAATCTCTGCAGAATTGGCCCTTGTCTGGATTATCTAATGGGGCTGACATTTTCCACCAATACAGCAGGAGCAGGAAAGGCCATAGAGCAGACCTCAATGCAGTTTCCACATCTAATCACTTCTGCTGTAGCTCTACTCATTTGCAGTTCTGGTTCCACTCATGTCAGAAGGCAGATCACAGCATGTTTTGATGAATGAGAAACAGAGCCCTTGAAAAGGGGTGGGCCTCGGGAGGGGCAAGGTTTTCCAGCTTTGCTTTGGTCCGCACGCCACTTACCCTGGCTTGCTGAAGAATAGCTTGAGCTTGAGCTTCCTGAGGTGAGATTGCTGGGCCCTTCTCACCACCTCCACTGAAGCGGAACTGTACAGAAGCAAAGAATGTTTTTTATTTTTTTTAGTCAAAATGAAAAATTCAGAACTGATTTCTATTCACTCATTAATGAAATATTTTTCATTAAAATCTTTAAGAACCTTCCTTTGATATATAATGGTGTTTTGTGTAGGTAGTTTTTAGGTTGTATAATTTATCACAAATTTTATTTTTTTACTAGCTGTACCCGGCCACGCGTTGCTGTGGCTCAGTCTGGTAAAAGCATGTGTTGCTTTTACGTCCAACAGATGCCACTGTTTTTCAAAAAAAGCATGTTTTACCTGTCAGGTGTGACATCTATATAATATAGGTATATAAAAACACGCGCGTATTCGAATGCAATGTTGTATCAAAATTTCAAAGCAATCTGTGAAGAACTTTCGGAGATTTAAGATTTTGAACAAACGAACATTTACATTTTTATTTATATAGATTTTTTTAAAAATATTCTTTACTAAAAAAAACAGCATTACTGCTAGTGACAAAGATTATCTCCCATTCGGAATGTGTTAACCTTAAACAAACTAATTTGGACAAAATTTTATTTGTTTATTATTACATTCTATACTGCCCATCTCACTGTTTCAATAAGATTTGAATTGGATCATTTTAATATGGCATCATTCCAAGCTGTAAAGCTCCCCATGCTTTTGATGAGAATTAATGAATCACTGCAGCCCAAGCTTTCTTTGTCTTGCTGCTTAATCTCCAGTTCTGCCTTAAAAATTATCAAGAAGGTGTTTTCAATGCAAAGATTACTGGGAACTGTAGCTTGCCACGACTTTGTTGCTTTTAATTAGAGATCCAGCAAACCCAGGTCATTTTTCACATGAAGAAGTCCCTCTCAATAAAGATTTAGGCCCAAGAAATATTAGTTTCCTCTCCTCCATTACTGGTGCTGGAAAGTTAAATTTTAGAAGATGTCAGCCCTTTTGGCTGGGCCTGTCTAAAGGTTCAACTGGAATTTGGTTCACTCCTAGGTATGTTAGCACTACCATCATAAATACATCCTCAGGGGAAGTTGCTTTTGTATTTAAAGTCACAAAACTAATCACCGATGAACTCAGAAATTTATTTAATTAGGATGTCACATAAGTTCAGGCAATAGACTTATTGAAACCATGTTTTAACACAGATCTGGGCATTTTATGGCCTCTAGGTCATATCCAGTCCTTTGGGCCCTGCCCAGCCTGCATGAGGTCAGTCATAAAGAAGAAATCAAAAGTAAATAAGTGTGCCACAGAGGGCAAGAGAAGAAGCGAAGTCGGATCTGGCTCCGTGCAGTCACCACGAGCTCCTTCAGTCAGCTGGCAGCTGCAGGAGAGATCTAGGACAATTCGCTGCAGCCATCTCGCCGCAGCCATCTCACCACGGCCATCTTTTCACGGCCAACTCACCATGGGACAATTCACAATGGCCAACTCGCCATGGGAAAACTTGCCATGGACCCCTCCATGCAGGATAACTCAATGCGATAAATGTTATCCACCACTATTTTTGGGACATTATTTCCATTGAGAAAAATGGAAATAATGTCGAAGAAACAGTGGTGGATAACATTTAATGTGTGTGAGTTTATCCCCCATGAACTTTTCTGTGGCAAGTTGCCCCACAGAAAGCTGGCCATGGTGAATTATCCTGCAACGAGTTGGCTGCAATGAGATGACCAGAGTAAGTTGGCCATGATGAAATGACTGTAGTGAGATGGCCATTGTGCGATGGCTGGGGCAAATTGTCCCATTCCACACAGGAGGGTGAGGAAAAAGTACTTTTCTGCACCTGTGCAGAGCTTGCCCCTCACCTGCAACAGCCTGAGGAGTTGAGGTGATAGAATCTGAGGATATCAAATTGGCTTACATTGGTTCAGCCTTCTACAACAGTCCTTGTTTCTCATATGGACCCTTGGGAAAATTAACTGCCCATCCCTGTTTTAACATGAACAACAGAAACAAAGTGTTCTTTCAAAACCTGATATATACACTTGTCTAGAACAGTGGAAGAAGTGCAGTTCCATTTTCATTAGGAATGCTCTGTTGTCTGTTATTTCAGGAGTGAGCATCCCTTTTGTGGTTCTCCAGCAACCTAAGACTATGCCACTGAAATCTGGGCATTTCCCTCATTTCAAAGACGCAATCTCAGGCTGTTTGTATAGCTTGGGGTGAAATGTCACTCTGCTCCATCAATAATGTCATCATGTCACTGGATATAAGCCAGTTTCAGGAATGAGCTCTTTCATTGGTCACTGCTATTGTCTAACTTCTAAGAGCTTTCCATCAATCTGGACCTAGATGATCTATTAAGAGAAATATTAATAGTTGATCATACTGCATTGAAATTCTTAGTTGTCCCTTGAAAATGTAACATTTATAAAGCAAAGTAAGGCTTACTGGTAACATTAACATGGTACCCGGGGGTCCAGGTAAGCCATCAGCCCCTGGAAGACCAGCACGTCCTGGTGGACCCTAAGGTCAAAACAGAGATTCAGGAAATGATATAAACGTTATACGTTTGTTAGAAACATATTAAAGCATGTTTAATTATTACAAATTGCAAACTGAAAAGAAGAATGACTGAAATCCCACCTTATGTTCATTTCATCTCATTTCTGTAGTTTATTAATTAAAACTTCCACAGCAGCGTATACATACTTTTGTGCATGTTTCTTTTAATACACACACTGCTGTCCACATTTTCCTCTTCATTTCATATGTGGATTCCAGGAAAAAGTATATTTTGTGAGTGCTTTCCCACATATAAGCATGTTTTTTGTCTACATCTTGTTCTAATACAGTATATGCATTTCTGTGTTTCCTTCTTTAAAATAATTTTTGTTTTGTTTTAAAGTTGTGAAATATATGGCAAAATTTATCATGTATGTCAGTGGTGGCAAACCTATGGCACGGGTGCCAGAGGCAGCACTCAGAGCCCTCTCGGTGGGCACATGTGCCGTTGCCCCAGCCTTGCTTCCCCCTGTGACCCCCTCCTTTCCAGCAGCCCCCATGAAGGAGAGTCACCCTCAAGCGTGGCCCACACGGAGCAGCACAGCCAAGGACATGGCAGCCAGGCAGCATAGACAAGACTCTGCCCTCACACCCCATCATGCAGTTGATGCTGCAGGGCGCAGGCAGAGGTTGTGGCCGTCATAGCGCTGCTGGGCTGCCTGGGTGATCTGCAGCGGGCCGTGGAGGCGGTGAGTGGTCCTGTGGGCAGGCAGGGTGGGGAATGGGGGGGCAGAGCAGGGGCGGGGCAGGGGAGTGGAGCGGGGGGGCAGTTTTTGGGCACTCAGTCTCTAAAAGGTTCACCATCACTGATGTATGTTCTGGTTCAAATCTGGGTTCAGGAAATGCAAATTAAGGAAGTTTACATTCAAGCATTTCTTACATCTTTATGTAAAAAATGCATGCTAATAGATCTCTCAATAGTTATGAACTACAAGAACAAAACGTACATATGCTTAAGAGCAAAACATCTCACAACAATTATGAATAGCTTCCTAGAAGTTGACAAATCATTATTGCCAACATGTGACTAGTCTTTTTTTTAATGTTCATGAAGGAAATGTTGAAAATGCCTATGTTCTAACGATACTTTTTAATTCCTCAAATTATAAAACCACATTGCAGGCATATGTTAGTGTATAGATTAAAAATTATACTCAAACATGAATAATAAAAGCCTTCCTAATCACTTCAATTGCTACCTACGTGCACATACATCATCATATCTTAAATTTATTTCATTGGCACTGCACACAACATTGTTACACAGCTCTTCAACCTGATTACAGGTAGCCCTCAACTTACAATCACAAAATTTATGTTGCTAAGTGAGAAATGTAAGTTTTGCCCCATTTTATGACTTTTCTTGCCTCAGTTGTTAAGTGAATCACTGCAGTTGTTAAATTAGTAACATGGCTGCTAAGTGAATCTGGTTCCCCCATTGACTTTGCTAGTCAGAAGGTTGCAAAAGGTGATCACATGACCCCGGGACACTGCAACCATTATAAATGTGAGTCAGTTGTCAAGCATCCGAATGTAAATCACGTGAACATGGTGATGCTGCAACGGTTGTGTGAAAAATGGTCATAAGTCACTTTTCTCAATGCCGTTGTAACTTCAAACGGTCACTAAGTGAGTTGTTGTAAGTCAAGGAAACTACCTGTAACACAGTACGGAATTTTGAGGGGAAAATAAACTCAGCTAGGATCTTCTTTGCAAGAATAAGCATCAAATCCATTCATATACCAGAACAACATACAACTCCTAGAGATACATTCAGAATGCAAAACTATAGTGTGAAACAGCATAGCAAAGATGAGGTTAACAGTGATTTATCTCCTGTGCATATTCAACATCTAGGATAAGGTCACCTAGTGCTTATCTCTTCTTTATCTGAAGAGGTTGTAGGCAAAAGATTCCAGGAACTTTCTAAATGTTTAAGCATCATAAGTTAATACAGTATTCTTTTTTCAGATTGCACACCGTTGGTTTTAGTTGCTGCAAAGCAGGAATTGTCTGAGCTGCCTTGCTTTTGATACTGTCATTTCAGTCCAATTTTACATTCGCTAAATGGGTGGACTCATAAAAACTGTTGCAAAAATATCACTACACATGTGGTTTTAGGCCGATAATATCCACAGATCTAGGCCGATAATATCCACAGATCTGAACTTAATGTATCAGTTATTAGAGATCTAAAAAAATGCAGCAACGCAATTACAGCACACAGAAGACAAAGCAAAGAAGGGACATGATGGGAACAAGATTAGCACAGATTTACCAGGCTAAAAATATTTTTGGTTAATATTTAAAGATTAAATGGGAAATCAGGAAGGGCAAATGGATTGACCTGTACTAATCCATTGTATCAGAAGACTAATAACAAGACCTCAGATATCTCTTATCTCAAGAGATGTGAACGGTTATCCTTCAGATGTAATAGCAAGCAAAACAAACAGAAAGAGAAAGCCAGCTACACTTCCAGTTCATCCACCTGTTATCACTAAAAGTCACCCAGAAATAACAAGATATCTGCTGGTCCGACTTGTGAAAGCCATTAAAGCTAGATAATGGAGATTGTCTTCCGACTTTCATTTGCACCACCGATAACAACATTTTCCTTCATCACCTTGAACATAGTCAATAATGTGGACTTGTATTCAGGAGACATGGGGAATCTGAGGCCTTCACGATATCCTATTTCCTCCACCAACTCTATTAGATGACCTTTAGATGACCTTTAGACTCAAGGCCCTCCATGTTCTATCTGCACAGCAACAAAAAGGATCTAACATTATCCCGAGAACATCTAAAAATCTCATTATTTCACATTGGAAGAGTGTCAAATTTGACCTGAAATAGATCAATTAAAACTACTTAATTCATTATCAGAATAAAGATGTTTTATTTATATAACAGTTTTGCAAAATACAAGAATATTCCTATAAGCTACAGTAAGAGATTACAAAACAGTTGCACATCCTTAAGAATTGTTTACATTCCTAACCATTCAATTTGTACCCTTGGGATGTTCATTTGCAACCCATAGAGACTTACCCTATCACCGGGGTCACCAGGAGGACCAGTGGAGCCTTGCATACCAGAGGGGCCCGTAAAACCCTATAAATAAAGACAATATATATCAGTTATTCTAAATAACTTTTTACTACAATGATTAGTAGCAATTTTGATGAAGGACTGGCAAAATATATGAGCTAATAATGGTTGCCCAACAGAAACAAAAATACACAGCTAGGTAAATGACACCATTTCCAGATGGAACAATCTGTACTCAATGAAAACTTATGTTATATATGTATGATCCCTGAAATGTTCATGCAAATATCTCCGTTAATAGTATCATTCATTTTATTTAAATTATATTTAGAAAGCATATACTTACAGGCGGTCCTGGAGGTCCTGGAGGCCCTTCAATAAGCATTCCCTGAGAAAGGTGAGAAATGTATTGTATATTATGTATTTAATGTATAAATATAAAATATGTACAGTAGCATTATTGTAGGAAGTGTGAATGGCATAAAATGAACCACAATTTGCAAAACTTTTTGTGCTGCATTTTTTTCCTGTGTTTAACTTTATAATAATCAGTGGCCCAGGAAAGGTTAATTAGACTTCTTAGACTTTCTATCTAATATTTGATCTGGTTGGGCTTCATCCTAGTTCTGCCTACTTGTCAGAGTTGTGTGTTTGTAATGCAGCTGCCACCATTTAGCTTGCTAGGGACCAATTGGCCTAGCCTCCCTTTGGTTTTTCTACTTAGGGTCAATAGGGCTCCCTAAAAACTGTAACTGGGTTGAAAAAATAAAGCTGACAACAACTGAGGAATAAGCCCTAGCCCATGGGTCCCCAACCTCCAGTCCGTGGACCGGGCCCGGGCTGCGGCATGCCAGAAGCCAGTCTGCGGAAACAAGCAAAGCCCCATTCATGGGTTTCAGGCAGTACATTAAACCACACCCCTTCCGGTCCACAGAAAAACCTCTCTCCAGGGAACCGGTCCCTGGTGCTCAAAAGGTTGGGGACCTCTGCCTAGGCCACCCAGCTTCAAAGGATGATGCTAGAAGCTATTCCCTCCTATTGGGAATAGTTTGAAGAAAAATAAAAACAGGTTCATTAAGTCCTCCAAAGTCCAATAAATACTCTAATAATGACTGAAAATAATTATTTAAACAATAATTAATTAATGATTAATTAAGAATAATTAAAGGAGATCAGTAGCAATCACACAAGAAAATAAAAATACCAGATGGAATTCAACATAAAACTACAGCAATCTATTCAGAAGTCTATAGAAGAACTTCCTGAAGTCTCATTATTTTGCATGCCCACAGGCCCCAAAACACAGAATATTAGAAAGAGGGACTCTGAAACCATAGTTTAGTTTTTTAAAACTCTTTTTCCAAAAAGGAAGGAAAACATGAGTGTTATTGGACAGAGTTACAGGAATCCAATCCCCAAGATATAGCACTGTCTGTTAACTTTTTCTACCCTATAGTGGTTCCATATCAGGCCATTATTGTCTATATCTATTATTTACCATTAAAAGCTTCAGTCTATTTCAGTATTTCCAAATTTGTCATTGAATTCCCTGCCAATGTTGCATGTACTATATTTTTTCATACCTCTCTGCTACCCTCTGTTCCCCCATATGCTATTGATTTAATGCCAATTTTCTGCTCTTAAGTAGGGATGATTTTTCTATTAAGAGCAGTCTTTCTCAGTTTAGCTTGTTCCAGGTGAATTGCAACTTCAATGCCCCCAAATTCCCAACAAATCTAGACTTGTTGAATGAGCAGTCTGGGATTTGTCCTAAAAGAACTAAAATGAAAAATGATTTGGGACTCTGATTTACGTGATTCTAGCCAATTTACAGCATTACATTCTAAAGCAAATTCAGAATTATCTACAGTCTCCGTGGCTGTGGTTTAAAGAGTAAATACAGGTGAGACAGCATAATTGCAGAGCTCCCATAACTGACCTCTTGAGTAATCCTAGGCAATCTGAATTACGTGGTAATTAAAAGATCTCTCTAATCCTACTTCATGGAGTGGTTTCTAAATGCCTTGTTGCCTTTTGGTTAAAAAAAAAAGGCTCTAAAAGCAAATTAGTTCTCGGTGTAGATAAAAATATCCATGAAAATCATCACCATGTTAAGTTCAGCCTTTGTTGCAAGCCTGCCAGTAGCCTCACATGCTACTGTATATTTTTGTGTATTTTTTATTATATGGTTCCCAAGAAATATTACAAGCTCTGTCTTTTTTGAGCAGTGGAAGCCAGCTGCTTTTTTTTTATGGGGCAAGGATATCAAGGGAGGAGGCACCGCCAAATTTTACAGCTTTTTTTTTTTGGAGAAATTTAGAGTTTTATATGCAATATGGGTCACTAACTGAAACAAAGGCTGAGTACCCTATTTTCATCCTTATTTTACAAGGAATGCCAAAAAAACACCACCATTGTGTATTGGCAGTTTGTCACAAGTGTGATCTTGTGGTTACCAAAAGGTTAGAGAAAAGACCACTTGTTGCCCTACCTCAGGCAAGTACTCAATGGATGAGCCAAACTGTTGATGAACTATATTAGAAAGATCTGATTTTTGCATAATACTGGGGAAAGGAAAACTTTTCATATAAAACAAACAAACAAATGAATCGTAGAAGGAAACCTACTATTAAATCATGACACCTGTATTTGTACATACTAGGAATTTTTGTTTAAAAATGCATCCAGTTCTTAAATCTTTTACTATAGCAACACACTAGCAAATGCAGTAATATAAATATCAAAGGGAAAACACTTTACTCATATATTATCTTTATTCGAAATAGAAACCTAATCAAAGATGTTGGTTTTGCTTCTTAAAAGAAACATATGCAGTAGTTCCATTATAAGCACTGCTTTTCAGCATATATCTCACAGAAGTTAAATAAAACCCTGTCCCTTTTTGCTTTAGAAATATTTCGTGATATTTCAAAAGCTCTTCATGATTTTACTGGCTTACTAAGAGGGTATTTGCATTGTCTCCTCATCCTGTTAGAGAGGTATCTAGCATATGGCACAGCAGAAGGGTTAACAGCAACTTGGGAAGACAGACATTCATTGGAATACCTTTTTTTTCTTACAAAAAAATTCTCTATTATTGATGTGGATTCAGTTTTGGATGATGTGTTTTTTATTCCGCCATCATCTAGGCTAGCAGCAATATCTATTACTATGCTCCTCCTAAAGGAGATGATGAAAATAACAATTGCCAGAAGTGGTAATTTTGACAAAAGATGGAATGGGACATTTTAAAATTGAGGAACAGTGTCAAATTGGAAGAAAACTCCCACAGATCAGGAAAGTACAGCATTTATGTCGCACTCTCATAAAATTCATTCCCCCAAAAAGATGATTCGGAAAAATGATCAAGCCCCTCTGATGCTGCTTCCTGCTTTTCCCAGATTTATCTTTGAACAGTAGATAAGGTAGGAGAATAGTAAACAGTAGAGAAGCTTGCAACATTTTGGAAGCATGGATTGCCTATTTATGGCAAAGAGCGTGGGGGAATGTAGCAATAGCACTTAGACTTATATAGCGCTTCACAGTGCTTGACAGCCCTCTCTAAGCAGAGTCAGCATATTGCTCCCTACATTCTGGGTCCTCGGAAAGATGGAAGGCTGAGTCAACCTTGAGCCCAGTGAGAATCGAACTGCCAAACTGCAGGCAGCCAGCAGGCAGCAGAAGTAGCCTGCAGTACTGCATTCTAACCACTACGCCACCACGGTGAATTGGCATTCTTAAACATACCTTAAAATAATGCAGTAATGAAGATCCAAGCCTTAAATACAAACCCACTGATTCAAAATCTGATGGCAGTCAGGCAGTTCCTCTCAATGGTCTTTTACAAAAAAAACCCAACCCTTATGTTATATGGAGAAGGAGCACTGGGAATGTTAGACCAAGCTCATTTTAAATACCTAAATAAAACTTCCAGGAAAAAAAAGGAAATCTCAAAAGGAAATGAAGAGAGACATATTCAGGTCCAAAGAAAGAATCTGATACATACATAATATTAAGGATCTAAGCATAGTATATATGTATCATTGTGATAAGTAACATATTGTACTAAAACTGAGAAGGAGCTATAAATGGTTTATATGTCTAAATGTAATAATACACTAAAAATTGAGCTACTGTTGTGCTAACATTTTACGGATATACTTTTAGTTTTTACAAATGTCACTCATTTATTCATTATTTTATATTTTTTTCTGATTTTTAACATTGCTATATTTTAATTGCATGTCATATCTTCTAGTTGTTATGCTTACGTATATATTTATTTTGTATAATATATAAAATTTTATTATCATTTTATTATATATATTATATATAAAATAGCATACTCACTGGTTCAATGACAGCTGCTTCTCCTTTCTGTCCTTTTTCTCCATATACATGATGGCCATTCACCTACCAAATCAATGCACAAATATATAAGGGTATATAGGTAACAACAACAACTACAACAGGTCCTTGGAAAGGACTCGATGGGCAGTCTGATTCAGTCTGATCATCTGGCTGACTGCGCGAAGAACCATAATATTTAATTACACTTAAATAGGTTGTTTCTGAGAACTTTCTGAGATTCTTAGAATTTACTGGTTTTTCATTGGATCTTCACAAAACTGAAAACCGAAGCCTGCCATAAGCCTGAACACTTTGATGTGTTCTTAACCTGCAAGTGAATTCCTAAATTCCATGGGAAATTAACATGCTGCTTTATATCAATACAAGGATCTATCCACCCTTGACTGCAATGGCAGAAACTCAATCCTATCTGGAGTTGCCTGGAACAGCACTTTGAATATCTGCATATAAAGTGTGCGATTTACTTTATTGATCAACAAAGTAGTTCCCCATGTTAATAAACTGATAAACAAAATAGCTTAGCAGAATCCATCCAAATCAACAGCTTTGATGTAAACTTCCATTGAATGTGGTCCCCTTCTATGTAGTACCTGTTCGCTAACTTCCTTCACATTAATATTAACAAGGGCGGTGCAATCTGTGCTACAAAGGTCTCTTATGATAACAATATTTCTCCCTAAAAAAAGTAGAATCCTGAAAACTACTTTTCTAAGAGTTAATCTGTGATTTTCAATTTGTGACTATTAACATTTTTTTGTTCTATAGATTCAAAAAATATTGTGGCAGGCTGTTTTTTTGGTGTATGTGTGTGTGTGTGCCTGCGCGCACAGGTTTACATTTATTTACTGAAGGAATCATGGGATTAAACAGTCATAAACACAAGTGGTTTATAAATACAAATTGTATATTAAGCCATTTGTGAATGAGAGAGAGCAGAAGTCCACTTACAGTCTTACTTATTCACAGGTGGTCCCTCACTTTACAAGCACAACTGTGCCCCAAATTTCCATTGATAAGCAAGGCCGTTGTTAAGTGAACTGCACTCCATTTTATGACCTTTTTTGTCACAGTTGTTAAGCAAATCACTGCAATTGTTAAGTGAATCATCCGATTGTTAAGCAAATCTGGCTTCCCCATTGACTTTGCCTGTCGGAAGCCAGCTGGGAAGGTTTATAAATGGTGATAACATGACCACAGGACAGTGCAACTGTCGTAAGTACATGCCAGTTGCCAAGTGTCCAAATTTTGATCACGTGACCATGGGGAGGCTGCAACAGTCATTAAGTGTGAAAAACGGTCATAAGTCACTTTTTTCAGGGCCATTGTAAGTTTGAATGTTCACTAAACAAGTGGTTGTAAGTCAGGGGACTATCTGTACAGGGGCAGCTTATAAATCACATGAATTAATCAGATTTATCCCGGTAGAGGCTGCACCAACCAGGAGGGGATAAAAAAACAGGAAAGGATGTACAGTATTCTTATAATGCATGAAATATGAAAACATTGGGATGGTGTACTTAAATGGAAAAAAATGGAAATTTAGATAATTAGCATTGAGAAAATCATGACTGATAAGAATGGACTGAACATAAAGGGGAAATTAAGCTTAAACAAAAATCACAAAAATAGGATGCATGGTGAACTAATGAGATGATTTTTATAAGAATAATATAAGCTGGTAAAAAAATGTTATACATAGATGTTATCATTATCTGTACAAATATGAAAAGATGTCTAAATTTAATCATTGATACATTGAAAATATTAAGAATTATATTTGTTTAAGATTGAAGAAGGAGAATACTATTGGGAGAAGGGAAGAACAAAGAAATATATAAATTAATATACTAATTATGGAATTATCAAAATCAATCATTATTGACTTTTAATTAATTATTATTGCTTTTTTTAAAAAATCATATAAACCAAGACAACACACTGTACACCAGACACTGGAGACTGTTATCGTAAAAAAACAATAAAATATTTAAAAAAAAAAACAGGAAAGGAGAAACCTCACCCTTATGTTAGCCTGGAGTCAAGCCTATATGATGATTATTACTTCTCATTATTTATTAACATTAATTAAATAATTAAATTTGTATGCACCCTGATTCTTAATGATTCTCAATGACTCACAACAATCAAAGAAATTACAATCAAATCAATAAAAATAAAAAGAGAAAGATAAAATATGCTGATGAAACAAGAGGTCTAATTCTTTCTTGCCAAAGGCTCTTCTAAAAAAAGTGCAGAGAAGAGGTCATGCACTGTGACTGTCCTATTGAATTCTTATTCATCTTAGTTTGTCCTTTCTGAAGATTTATTTAACATCTTCTTATAATTTGTCTGGTTTATGTTTAATTTCTATTCCATTGTTAATATCATTATGTTCATCAACTTCTGCCTTGATGGACTGTGTGGCATATAAACTGTAGAATAAGAAATAAATATATTCTAGGAGACATTAGTCCCCATGTTGCTTTGGATGTATCTGTCCCCTAAATTACTAAGAATATCAAAGTCCTCAAATCCAAATGTACAACTTCAAATAACTACCAGTGGGAGATAATGGTTTGACGCAAGTAAGTAATAAGAAGGAACCGAATGAATCTTACTCTTAAGCCAATGACATTTCAATGAGATGCACAGTGAAGATTTTCCAGTTGTTGGTTATGGTAGATCCCAGAGCATCTAAAAGAACAATCTTTCTGAGGCCCTATATATGTGCAGAGCTTTCTAGATGAAACTTACTACAGTAGATCAGTGTTTTTCAAGCTTGGCAACTCCCAGAATTCAGCTCCCAGAATTTCCCAGCCAGTATGGCTGGCTGAGGAATTCTGGAAATTGAAGTCCATACATTTTAGGGTTGTCCAGATTGAGAAACACTTTAGTAGATAACTCTGAAATATTGAGATCTGCAAGATTACACATTGTTTTATATATATGCAAGATTACACATAGTTTGGATGACTTATTATAACTGATCCTCAAGCATTGGGGTGCCTTTGCAAGAAATAAATTTGATCCAATTTATGAATGTTTATGAAGCTAGAATCAAGACTATATGGAACACCTTTCTGTTAGAAGTTGGTCTGATACTACTCTCAGCACTGCCTTGTTTTGTTAGGATTTTTGAAAAATAAAAGGTCAAAGTTCTGTTCCTATTGTTTTATTTTTCACACAAGCTACTTTTTTATATTATTAGTTTTTTACGTGATATTGTATGTACTGTTTCTACCCTGGGATTCTTTTTTGAAAGAAAGAAAGAATACATAGTTTTCAAAATCAAGACATAATCAACTAATCACATTATGATCGATGCCTCTATCCCTGCATGTAGGCAAAAAAAGGCTATTTACAAATATTTATTGGCTAGGAGAAATCATCTCATTTATAAGTAGCTCATAATGAAATTCAGTTTAACAAAATCCCTCTTTTATCTCTAGTATTGCAAAAACACAAGGCAACACAACACAACAAATGAAGTGGATGAGAACTCCCAAATTCAGACTTCTAGGTTGATACAAGACTATATTTTTAAAATCGATTTTTTAACCAAGTCTTTTTTATGGAAGTATACACAGATAGTCCTTCCTTAACAACCACTCATGTAATGACCATTCAAAATTGCAACAGGTCCAAAAACGTTACTTACAATCCATCCTTGAAGTTAGGTTTGTCATGCTTGAAAACTGGCTCACATTTACAATCGGTTGCAGTATCCTGGGGTAATGTGACCACAATTTGCAACAATCTTTGCTGAGTTTTTTTTTTTTTTTTTGCAAAAATCACCAGTTGGAGAATGGATTCACTTAACCACTTAACATGGCTTGCTTAACAACCACATAATTCTCTTAATGATTGTGGTGATTGCCTTAAGATTGTCATAAAATCAGTTCTGAAATCAAGTCAAGATCCATGGTGGCACGCTCAATGACCGCAGTGCCTTTTGACCAAAATTCTGACCTCAGTTGTGGTTGTTAAGTGAGGACTACCTGTAAATATTCCCTTTCCTTTTTCCATCTCTAATTAAATGATAGAAAATATAGATACCCATAAAAAAACCTGCTAGCCATTAAGCATTTTTGAAGACTATCTCAGATGTATCCAACTTACGGTTGTTTCTGTGATATCAGTCTCTGCAGGAACTCCAGGCCCAAACTCCTCATTAGTAGGATTGGTTGGCTTCTCTTCATATTCTTTATATTCATAAAAATCATATTCGCCTAAATCTCCATCTACCAGAACTTCAGATTCGCTGTGGTCTACGCCTCTGTTTCCATAATCTGTTTCCTCATTATTTTTAGTCTTTGAATTATAATCCTCTCCCGTTACGTATTCTTCAGTAAATACTTCTTCAACAGGAGTTTGCTATTCATATAAGCAGTAGAGGTTTGGAGGAATAGGATGAATATGTGGATTATAGTTAGTAAAGCAATGTAAGCATTTTGCAGATTTTAAGGTAATGCTTTGCAAAATAAACAACAGCTATATAGCTTGGCATCTTTTAACTTGTTTCCGAAAAACTCAGAAGCCAGTTTTTCAGAGTTATTAAAAGAATGCTCCAATATACATGGTTATCTGCAATGAAATTAATTATTTTGAAAATGTATATGTTACCATTTATGCATATATTAAATGAAACCCTGTGTAAACTGGATTGATGTAGTTAGATTATTTAGTGACAAAGTCTCACTAGTTTTTTTATTGAATCTTTCAGGTATGACATTCCTAAGACATAATTACAGTAATGTATGTTTATTTATCAGAATTATTTCTAAGCTTTTATGCTTAGCTTCACACATATTAGTGTCAGTAACAGTGTTCAAAATATGTACCAAGTTCTAATGAAATGTTGATTAAGGTTATGTAACTGTCATATTAAAGTTAAAAACTTTTATGGAAAAGTTGGAGGAGCTGGGCAAAAGCAAAAGCTGCAGGGAGACGCAATAGCTGTCTTCAAGTATTTGAGGTTCCTCTAGAGAAAATTAGGGCGGAGTTGTTCCAGAAGGCAGGACAATAAATGATGAATTTAAGTTACAAGGAAGTAGATTTTAGCTGGAAGCAAGAATTTTTTTTTATAATGGTAAGAATTGTTCAAAATGGAGCTCTAAGATGCAGAGGTCCCTTCTTCATTAGAGGTGAATGGCTGTCTTTTAGGGATGTTGCAGTAATGGATTCCCATACAAAATGGAATTGGATTAGGTGATCTGCAGGATCCCGTCCATTCTTTTATTCTATGAATCTACAATAAGATTTTTTTTAAAAAAATGTCCATGCACATTTAAAGCCGAAAAGGTAAAAGCTAAGTCTTTTTATCTGAATGCACTGTTTTGCAAAATCTTAAGCTTATCCAAGTTCAACATTATATCCTTAATAAAGAAAACATTGTTCAACATTGATGGAACATAAAAAGCCACTATTGCAGAAGAGAGCAACTCTGAAAGTTCTGATTGAGAGCTGTGTGAAACCAAGCATTAAACTGTTAAGCACTAGCATTAGTTAAATAGCATTTTCTTCAATATACAGAGACATTAGCTTTAGAATAAGACAATCAAGCCCCACAATAAATGTATCTGCTTTAGCACAATTCAAAATCTTTAGAAATTATTGCTTAAAATCTCTTTTTTATATATATAGCACGGCAATATTTATGAATCACAGTACCCACATTCATAAATATTAGTTGATTATGCACACTCAGAATTGAGCAGATATCAGCAACACAAAGTTAAGGCTAATTTCCAATAAAGCTTTTGATTCAGAGTCTAAAGAAAGATACATTTAGATATCAGTGTATATATTTCAAATGCAGCTGAATTGTAAACTCTAGAGGTATAGAAATAGATGTCCCTAACCAAGAAATGAGAAATGTACTTGACAAAAGTTATGTGTATGGGTTCCCATACTGAACTAGGAACCACGTGAACAGAGTAGAGGACATCCAGATGCATATCTTTATGGTGTTGTGCAGTTAGATATCATAAGTCACACCTACTTAATCTCACTCAATATTTGGTACAAATGAGACTGCAATATAAATGTGAATGAATTGATTTTCTTGTACATAGCCAAGTGACTATTCTCAAGACTCCAGTCATCCTCCACTCACTATGTTCTTCTCTCTTACGTAGGAGTCTCAATTGGAGCAAATCTTGTCTATAATGACTACTGAAAAAAACTAATACTTCCTTCAGGCCACTGAAATCAAAAGTGTGGGCAATGTCTCACGTCATACTTAGGTATCCTTGAGCTTTGCTTGGCCATTATTGAATGCTTTGCTTGACATCCAAAAATGTATGTGCTTGCATTCCTACAGAAAATAGGAATCTCTTGAAGTCATTTCTCAGGTAAAGACTGAATGTGACTATGAAATACCACAAAACTGGATCTCAGATATATAACACACGACTTTAATCTTTAACTGTTCTCTTATTATTTTATTTATTCATTAAAATTTTATCCTGCCTTTATTACTTTGTAAGTAACTCAAGGAGGTAAACATGCATAATACTCCTTCCTCATCCTATTTTCCCCACAACAAACCTGTGAGGTGGATTGAGCTAAAAAGAACGACTGGCCCAAAGGAACTTTCATGCCTAAGGCAGGACTAGAATTCACAATCTCCTGGTTTCTAGGCCAGTACCTTAACCACTACACCAAACTGGCTAGTTGATAATGACATGGTAATATATTTTTTTTACTGATTAAAATCTTTGAAATAGCTCTGCCATTATATTTCTCTATTCTTCATTACCTCATTTCGTCCAGTTGTTTGAGTAGGGATTGCGGTCTGGTAAGCTTCAGTTCCATAGTCAGCCACATTATATTCATGATATTCATCAACAACGTTGGCCTAATGTGAGAGGAAAAAGTACAAAGTTAATAGGCAAGGAAAAAGGCAAACACTTAAAGAAGAATTTCTGTTTAGCTAGATTATAGTATTAGCCAGTGATGCTTTCATCTACTAAGGGTTAGAGTCAGTGGTGGGATTCAGCCGGTTTGCACAGGTTCAGTAGAACCAGTAGCTAAATTTTGTTGAGTTTGGAGAACCGGTTGAACCCATGCTGCTTCTGGAAGTCCGTTCTAGGCCTTGGTGGACTGGAGGAGGTCTCCCAGGCCTAGAACAGCCCACCAGAAGTGTGTGGATGTCACTTCCAGAAGTCCATTCTAGGCCTCGGAGGCCCAGGCCTGCATCCACGCAGTGAACCAGATGTTCAGATATTTGAATCCCACCACTGGTTGGAGCTACTGGTTTTCATTATCACAGATCTTCCAAGCTCAGTTTGGAGAGATCTTGATTATTTCTGAGCTACCTTTACCCCTATTTTGCCTTTGGCTGCAGCTCGAGAGCTTTTCTTCTTCTTTGATGACAGTGTTTCAGATTTTTTGAATTTGAACTTTTGGGGGTTGTTCTTTGAGTTAGCGATCCCTGTCTTCTTCTTCTTTGGGGCTTTTTTCTTCTTCTGAAAAAGGGGGTGAAAGATGGAAGGGGAGAACATAAACAAACAAAAAGGGGAAGAGCAGTAAGACATGAAAGATGTCAGGAAAAGCAAAGGACAACAAATAATGACTTCCTGTCAATTGCCTTTGGCTGCCGCTGTTGAATTAAAATGAGTTTCATGGACAAACAAGAAAGGAAAGAAGACAGAGCGAGCTTGATCAACACTAAGACGCCACGTGACAAACCATCAGACAGACAGGACGACGGACATCAGACAACATACACACCACGTGCCGTTACCTCAGTGTATGCTACAGTCTCGTCGTATAGTGGGGGTCCATCTGTTATAGTTTCAAGGTCTTTATAATCTTTATAATCTGGATCCCCATAGTCATAGTCATATTCGATTAAATCTTCAGTTCCATACTAAATTGCAAAAGGAAAAATACCAAGCATTGGTGGATTAGTGGCAAGAAGCTTTAGTAGCAGCCCTGGAAAGCTCTTTCTTATGCTTCCCTTTTATAGTTAGAAATAAAAGTTACATCATTAATGTATCAGATACATAGTAGGTTTTTTTTTCATAAGGAACTGATTATAAAGGTATTATTTTACTTTACAAATTGAATTTAAAAAAGGGCACTGTGACTTTTTTCTTTTGCTAAAACATGATTTATGATTAACATTTTACTGTAAGTGTTACCATGCAGAATGGGAAAACTCGCTGGGGCCAACTTGCGATGCAAGACTCACCATGGGACAACTCACCCTGGCCAACTTGTCATAGGACAACTCGCTATGGGTCAAATAAATAATTCAATTTAATTTTTTACAATATTTTTAAAGAATATTTTAATTTTTGTCTTTCACATTTCATTTTGTCCCTCCTTTCTTTAATGATTCTATTCCACCATTTCTTCGATATTAGTGTAACTCTTGTCTGTGGCAAGTTGTTCTGTGGTGAGTTGGCTCTGGAGAGTTGTCCTAGACCCTTATACAGAGTGCCTTTATATTAAATGGAAAAGCTTATCTTAAGCTTTGTGTTACTTAACGTTATTATTGAGCTGAGAAATTCCTCTAACTAGTCATGTATCCTACTAGCACTGTATCCTACTAGGTGCCATAAAATAAGGATTAATAAATGTAATCCTGGGTTACAAATATAGTACCAAATCTTTTACCACCGGAATAGTTTCCCATATTTAGCAATATATTTAATTCAGAACACCAGCTTCTAAATGTATTATCGTGTTTCCCCAAAAATAAGACCCGGTCTACTTTTATTTATTTATTTTTTGCCTCCAAAAGAGGCACCACGTCTTATTTTGTGTGGGGGGGTGTCTTTTCCACGGTCTCACCTCGCGGCAGTGGCACCGACAGCCCCACCCAGCTAGGGCTGGGAAATGGCTCTGCAGCTGAGAAGGGAGCTCCGGATTGACACGCACGGCACCCCCGGCATGCATTTAGCCATCAGAGGCCTTCCAGAAAGGCCTTAACTAGCTTGGTGCCTTAACCACAACACCAAACTGGTACTATTATTATATGGAGAGCCAGTTTGGTGTTGTGGTTAAAGCACCAGGCTGGAAAGTGGGGGACTACTAAGTTCCACCTTAGGCATGAAACCAACCAACTGTCTATGGGCCAGTCACTCTCTCTTAGCTCTAGAAAGCAGACAATGGCAAGCCATTCTGAAATCTTGCCAAAAAAAGCTGCATGGACTTCTCCAAGCAGTCTACATGAGAAGAAACACAAAAGAAATGAGACATGAGTCATTTTCTGGCATTAGGGTTTGTCCCTTTTATTCTGACCTCCATATGTTACTGAGAAAGTTCTAAAGTGACACTATAACCATATCATGCTGAGTTGTGCGATTCAAAATGCCATGATGTTAAATTCAGAGGGTAAACCATTACTGTTCTGAGTAACCAAGGGAGGCAATACGACAGCAGATGTGAACTGCACATAATTCAAAGATAGAGCACAAAGGCAAAGCATGGAAAAATTAATCTAGTCTCATATGGAATTAATCTATATTTTTAATCTCACTTATTTAGACTCTTATTACTCTCAATGTTTGATCTAAAGATACCCATCCACAAAATGTAGACTCCCTCCAAGTAACATTGAAGTTTAACAGACCATAAAAGGATAAAGGGTTCTCCTCCCTTGATATAGTAGAAGTACCTATTATGCCTCAAGCTATTATATGTTCTTTACAATAAGTATTAATGTTGACATTTTTGACCTAACCCGAACTTTTTAATCTACAAAAGATAAAATGTATTGTTTATTGTCTTGTAATTTCAGCAGATACAATGTTTTGCAAAGGAAAACTAGCGCATTTAAAAAAAAATTAAGATTATCTTCTAGGAACTCAGTAGTTTGTTTTAATACATATTCATTACATACTAGCAAACAAGAAAGTAATTTATTTTTCCAAATTTTAAAAAAGTTTAAGCAAAGGTATAGCTGCTTGAAAAGAGACATTAACTTTAATGAACTGACTCTTTAAACCAACTGTACCTTTTTTGAAAACCAACGAATGAAAACCATCAACTCCAAATAAATTCAGAAAGGAAATAGTAAGACACAGTTTTAGAAGTTTCAAAATAAAATTAAAAACTCCAAGAAGATATTCTTAAACCCTGTATATTTTTCTGAATTTGATTTCCCCCCCCCCCCCTCTTAGCTGAATTTCTGAAACCTCTACTGACAGACAACTAAGAGATTGGTGTTGTGGTTAAAGTGCCAGGCTAGAAACTAGCGGACTTTGTGACCACAAAGGAATGTAACACCTCAATGTCTTTCTTCTTTGGCTGGCATCCAAGGAAGCTCAGTTACATGGGCTCATGTGGGCAAACAAACAAAAATGAGTGAAAATATGTCACTAACAAAAACTTCATTGAATTCAGTGTAATTATTTTATGAAGCAGGTAAAGAGGGAAAAAAGAGACGGAGAATGTCTTAGTGGCTAGATCGACATATTCTAAAGCACCCAGTTGAATCACACAAGTTTTCAACATATCAACTCAGTTTTGAACCAGACTAGTTGAAAGTTATGTGGGTTTAAATTACCAGCCCTTTTCTAAAATTCTTTTTGAAATGAACAGATAGGAGGTGGCATGTCTTTAAGAAAAGGCAGAAATCCCAGACTAATCCATCTCTTGGGATGCTAATGATCAAACATGTTAATGTATGCAAACAACCTTCTTCCAAATATCTGCCTTAGCTAAAGCAACTCGCTAACTATTTCAGATTAGTCTAAGAAAGTTTTTAAAAATAAATAATATGACTATCAACCCACATACTGTAAAGTCAACTAGTCATGAATAAGGGCTATACTTCAATAGCAAACTATCCCTAGGAAACATAAACTTTAGCAGGCAAAAAAATGTTAGTTATGTTTCTAGGACAGCTACACAGGAATCCTAGAATTCAATTTAAAAAATGGGGAATGTCTTGCACAAGATGAAGGCTATAAATTATAACTTACAAATTATAAAATTATAAGTTATAATTATAAATTACAAAGCAAGGGCTTTATCACTGAGCTACTGTACAAGAAAGGAGTTATTATTTCTTTCTAGCACTCAGATGAGCATTTTTAAAAGGATTGCCTAAGTTTAGCATTATTTCTATTAACAATGAGAGCATTTGTCTGATTGCAAAATTAGCAACTGCTCCAGACTATGCCAATTTGGGGGTAAATAAAGTGACTAAAGACAGATTAGAAGCAGTTCTTTGGAGACCACAAAACAAATGGAAACATTGACTGAATAAAAAAAAAAAAGTACCAAGTATGCTGATTAAAAACATACACAAAAAAGACAAAGTAAATTGATATTCATTCTAAGGCTTGTCAGAGGCACATTTTGAAAAGCTATTCATTCATAAGATCAAGAAGATACATACAAAAAAAAGGGGGGGGATATTTAGAAAGCAGAATTGCACCACACACAATCAATTGAAAAATGTTTATGCTCTTCTAGGACCTTCTGTTTAATATTTCCACAAAGTATCGCTTTAAAAAAGGCACCATTATGTTTATTCATTATATTCACAACATAGACCTATAAGGACTTTGTGAAATATAATATAAATTTCCTTCTGTCTCATGTTTTTTTTTTAAATTTGTGAGCTGTCATTAATATTTTTTTGTAAGAGAGCCAAGAATTCAATGAACCAGTATGCTATAATAAATGTACATTTTCGCCTCTTACTTAGCTTTGTCAATCCACCTAAAGACTCTAGACAGATTATTATGCTAACTAGATGTGCAGTCTAACAGTCTGCTAATTCTGAGCAAACGTTACTGCAGTTGGATGAACTAGACATTATAGAAATGTTCTTGATATAATATCCATCACAGCTAAATCACTTTTCTTTCTGAGACAACTTTTGGACTGTCATAGTTCATCATTTCCCATCCACCGTGACACCATGGGTCTGTTCCAGTTAATACAGTTTTGCCAGATGTAACCTAAGAATGAAACATTATGGCAATGGATTTTAACATTTTGCAATGTATGTACGTATATCATTTGAGCAGATGAAATCACTTTATACAGAATCAAATTATTAGTGATACAAGTGATATTGTAGATTCTTTAGATATTTCTTTTTATTGATGATTGGTCATTCACAGGCAACTAAATAATCTGTCACCAAGCAATATCCCTTCTCTAAATCTTGGCTCATGCTTGGAATCTCTTCACATCATTTTCTGAATTCATTTTGTGTGATGTTGGCAATTATATTTCAGTTTAAAATAAGCCTTGTGTCTTCTTAGTTATGCTCAAATTATGTTTTAACAGGATTAGAGACCATTTGTTATATTTCTTCTCTTTAATTTTAAGCCGCAGATTTCTGCAGGCATCTTCTTTCTCAACATAGACCTCCTGATGGTCCAAATAGCTGATGGAGATGAAGCAGTCTGCTTAGCTTGATAAATCAAGACCTTCAAAGTATATCTTCTTTCAGATTGAGAAATACAAAACATAGAACATAGAATAATAGAGTTGGAAGGGACTTCATAGTTCTTCTAGTCCAGTGATGGCGAACCTTTTAGAGAACGGGTGCCCAAACTGCAACCCAAAACCCACTTATCCCTCGTTGAGTGCCGGGTGGGTGTGGCCCATTGGCTGGGTGTGGCCAATTGGGTGGGCGTGGCCCATTGGGTGGTTGTGGCTGTGGTGGTAATGACAGACTGGGTGGGACTAAAAAGTTCAATCAATCAATTCCAACTTTGCGAGATCTTTTTTTCCCACGAGAAGTTGAAATTGACTGATTGAACCTTTTTTTTTGCACACAGCAGCGGAGGCCTAAAGCGAAAAGGTTTTATAAAACCCAGTTGAAGGCGTAGGACTGGGGCGACGGCCCGCATGCCCACAGAGAGGGCTCTGAGTGCCGCCTCTGGCACCCGTGCCATA